TTTTTAAGATACCGTCGTTAAATACAAAATGTCTGATACCCCGAACTTGATTGTCTGTAGTTTACGCTAGGCGTTTAAAAAAATATCTTTAACGTTTTAAAACGTGATATATAGTGTTTTATAGAGACTTTGCTTATGACTTTGACATTATGATTAACGTTCTATAGTCTCTACAGTCCCCCCCGAGACCACGCAAAATATCCGAAAGTCGAGCTGTAATTAAAATAAATTAACTAATATGTTCCGCGTTTTACATCGTTAAAGGTGTGTTATTTAAACTCAAAATCTTATTTTTTATGCAGAGGAGGACAGCAAGCCAATGGCTCTCTTTATGAAAGGCTGACTGAAACCGGAACTTAATTGTATTTCACGAATTTTTCATCAACCAATAGCCCGTTTAAAATATATGGGTATGCAAGTCGAAGAACACCTTATTGTTAAACGCTAAGCTTAGCTAAGTAGTTTTTCTCAACTTATAATCCTTTTTTGAATATTTTGTACTAGACGGTATACTCACATAAAAAACCTTAATCTTGCTGGTATAACGGGACAAGGTTCGGAATATGTTTTTTTATATTAACGTTTGGTAACGCTGCTTTAGTCATCGTTTAATTTAACTAAAGCCAACGATAGTCGTCATCTTTGTAAGTTCATGGACTAATGTTTATAAGTGACCGTCTAAGCCACTAGGGAAACACAATGGAGATGTTTTTCAGTGCCTTAAACTGATATTATATACTAATTTTGAGAATTATCGAAGCCAAACGCAGTATGGAGCTTACCGCTAAGAAAAAAATCTCTCTCGGTCGTTAAACCTTTGAATGAACAGTTATAATCATCTCGCCGTTGACATAATTATTGAGACGCAAAAACAACATGACTCATACGATATTTGGCACAGTTTGATTCACAACGAGACTTTAGGATTTCTTTCTGACTCGAATTAAATATTCTCCTTTATTTTATGATTTTTGGTACGATGGAAATCACTTAATGAAAAGTGAAACACCCAAGTCATATAATTAAGCTTTTTTAACTAAAATAAGGTAAGTAAGGTTTGTCTATTGTTTGTTAATAGATGGATTATTTCAACTAATGGATTGTGGGATTATTCCTCGTCAGAATGTTAGATCTAAAATTGAAGGCAACAAGAGTCTCACGGCCATTGAAAAACTTCAAAGCCTATGAAAATAAAAGCAACATAATTAACGACCTGGTTTTCATTACTTTTGCGAATGAAGAAGTGTTTTGAAGGGTCACAGCTATTTTATAATGCAGAGACGTTCAGCTAGAAGGCATCAAAGAGATTCGCTCTATGTATATAGATGTTTGTATTACTGTTACTCAAAAAAGGTGTCGAGTTTAATTAAAAGTTGAGATAATTTACAGACTTCCACCCATTTTATATTCAGACGAAGTCCAACGTGTTTCGGAAAAATTGTAAATTGATTAGAAACATGTCGGGCCCGGTGGGGATCGATCCCACGAAAAACGGACACAAGCAAGAGTTTGCCTCATGGGATGCTACAGGTGACAACTAAGTTGTGGCGCACGTTAAGTAACTTTTTAGTAGGATTTTCTACAACTTCTAGTTTATTAGTAAAAACATCTCTCGCACTTATTGTGCGGGGTTCAAAGGAAAATGGTCGGTCCTTTACCGTTAGCGTCGGTGCACAGTACCGCTAGCAATTTGCATTTTTAGGTGAAGGCGAACCAGCTCCGTTTTGTAATTATAACATTCGTGTTGTTTGTTACGAGCGCCGGAGCGATCCGAAGAGACAGTGGTTTAGAAAATAGATATCATTACACCTGTAAATAACTGACCGCATCTGTAGCTAAATGGCTATACGTGTTGCCTAGCAGTGCGTTAATTGTGATATGTATTTGTGGGTAGATGGATAAACTCCTGAGGTCACATATTGAGTGAGTGAGAGTGATAGTAATTACATTCTTGTATCGTTGTAAAACTAAAATAGTAATCTACCTCCTTACAGATACTTAAATTAATACTAATTTATATTAAAACTTTCTTTAGAGAAGTTACTTACTTATTTTTATTAAGGATCTCGCTTTTCTTATATGGGGCAGACAATTTATGTGCCCTATACACTGATCGATTTTAATTACTGTACGAAATAACATATTGTGTCCCCATTTTTCAACCAAGGACCTCTCGCGTTAAATTATTTTTTTTTAAGATCCAAATTTACAATTTATTAAAAATATACAAACTGTGTCGTGTATAACGCTGTGTAGGCGAAATTAAATGCGAAAAAAAATCAATATTAACTCATGATCACACCATCGTGTCAATGACAATATTTTGCGATATCAAACGACATTAGCATACAAGCCACGTTTCCTTCTATTTGAGACCAGTAATAAAGAGGTGCCCGTCTGCCTTCCGGGTTCGTTCAGACTAGCAATGTAATATTATTCGTATTTAATCAACGACAGACGAACACAAATTTTATTTAACCACAGTCTTATGACGTACGCTACATACTTATGGGTGCATATTATGACCAACCCTTCTGTTTCGTGACTGGCCTATTGACATTCTAGAAGGAGCCGCAACGAAAGTGCGTACGCTTTTTTGTATACCAATGGAATACGGTTTCAATTATCTCTCTTATTATGTGAAAGTGCGTCGTCTAGTCTAGATATTCTTATTTTCTGTTTAAGTTATTCCATAATATAGTAATTAAAGGAGGACAGACAAACTTGGGGTTGACATGATAGAAGGTGAAATAGCCATGTATCATCTCACAAGAAGTCCTATCAACTACTAACATCTATTTTAGCTTTCGATCTCTGCATTTAATAATTTTGGACATCTTATGTTTCTATCTAATTATATCAACTTCTTAGCGATAACCATGCCCACTCCATATAGCATATTTAATTTATTTTTGTTATTGCAGTAATGAGTTGATGAAACAAATAAATAATACAATTATAACAAATAAATTCATGTATATCACTGGTACTTGCATTAGATGCTCTATATACAAATGGCTAAACGTATTGCTTAGCATTGCGTTATGCGCGAGAGGTACTGGGTTCGAATCCAAGGGAACAAAAAACATTTGTTCCGGTCAGGTAGGGCGCAGACGACGATGATCAACTACTTGCCTGTTAAAAAGAACGGATCAGTGAAACGGACACAGAAATGTGTTCGCCCCATGCCCGAAAAGAGGGAATCGGGATTTCACACACATTTAGACGTTATTCTAACGAAACCAAAACAAACGTAAGATACGCGCTTGAAATGTTGTTCGATTAAATATATTACATAATTCGGAGTTATTACACAAACATGGTACTATCATATACAGGGTGCAGTCAGGCTTATATAATTAAAAATCTATTTCAATAAAATTTTAGTGATAAAAGTTCATTTTTACCATAGATAGATTTTACCACACCTTTTCTGTTTAAAAATTAGAAGGCATATTTAGGAGATATTATCAATTTTAGTGTCTGTAGCTAAAACGTGATGTCTGTTGTTAATAAGAAAAAGAGTTTCTGCGCCAAAACTCAGTGGTGGTCTTTTTGTTCACTTTTACAAATGTGCTTGCTTAAGCCATATTTAGTTAAAATTAATTAATATACACAATGACCTACTGTGAATAATAAATGATTTATTGTTTCATTTATTGATTAATACACAATGCAATTATTTGAAATAAACAGCTACACACTGACAAAGTTGAACAATGAGAACTGTTAATTGATGTCTTTGTTATCTAATCTAATTTGTTATGTAAACACTTTGAATATAGTTATCATAATAACTCTTCCTGACATAATCCTACAATTGTTACGTCTATAATATTGTCTTTCATGTATATAGATCACTATTGTAAAATATATTACACTTGAATGTGTTTATGATTTTTTTTGTCCTGAATGACAACAGACCAGTATGATTGTAGACATTAAACTTAAATTGTTTTTTGTATGACAAACTCATCTGAAATTTACAAAACCCTCTCCTTTGAAGTGTTGTAATTCTAATACAGCTTCAGTTTTAGTTATTATTAATAATTACAAGTATATGTATATAAAGTTTGGTTTAGTTAAATATTCTTTAACTAAACCAAACTTTATATACATAACCTATTAATTTGACTGTTACTTATGTGACTCCAAAAAGTTAAATTTTTACAATAAAAGGTAACCTAACAAGTTATATCAAACAATGTAGTATGCTATTGTAATATTTTATAAATAATGAATAAATCTTCCTAACTAAACTAAAGTTAGAATTAGACTCAACAATGCACAGAATAGTAAAATACAAAATGTTTTATCAATTTCACTTTACAAATAGTCTTACTGAGTTAATTGAGGTTTTTTTTTCATATATTAAAGGCATTATTAAACATGAGAATATTTGCATGATTAACCAATATTTATATTTACTTCCAAAACCACTTTCTATTTCTATCCACTTAGTTTATAACTATTGATACTACTACATAACTAAATGTTTTTGCATTCAAAAATAGATCTAATATACATAAGAACATTTATGATAAAGAATAACTAAATGTTAAACATATTTTTATTGTTTTGTGAAAACCCACATGTGTGTTATTGATAATATTCAGCGAGATCGCCATCTGCTGATTGTTTACCAACAGTCTATGGACTATAATTTATTATAATTTCATTATCATCTCATCATCATGTGTAAGCTACTTGTAATCTGTTATTGAAGTATATAGCGCAGAAATTATTTAAAGATGTATTCTAGTTCAATATTTGTGAATTGAACAATCAGCTCTGTTCTACTAAAGTAGTGAAAGTGAATTACCAACTCAAATAGCTCGCACTAAAAACACATTATGTGACCATGACGTTCCACACAATAGATACCAACGATATTATTGGCGACCGTTCGGCCAATATTCAACGTACAACAAGTAAAATTCAACCCCTAAAGGAGAATATAACAACAAATTACACAACTTTGTTGATAAGATATAACTCACCCTAAAATAAACATCCATGAGGATGCAGTCCGGCAGTGATCTCACATCGTATTTATTGATTTTCCGTTTCGACTTTTGCTGCAAATAGTTCACTAAACTAGTTAAACACTTATCATATAAACTATTGGGCGATTTTTTATCGCGCCCCAATGTAGACACGTCAGCCATCTTGGCGAGATAAAATTTAACTTAAGCGTTTGTACTTGCTCGCAGAGCTCACGGCGCAGCTGACTCTTGACAACTGGTTACGTTAGTGATGTGCCGTTGTATAATCGAAAATATTCCACGATTAACTATCAATTAATCTCAGAATCGAATGTTTACAGACCACAGGATAAAGCAATATATTGATGTTAACTAAATAAGATTAGATAAAATTGTAAATTTGAAGAATGTATATTTTCTGCTTTGGATTCTTGGGGAGAATTCGATTAAATTGATTTAGAACATCTAGTGAAACCAACTTTCAACCATTCGTTGAAGCATCAGTTAAGTAGATTATTATTATATACCTTCCAAGGGTTGTTTACAAATTTTTAAATCTGTTTCGTTATAAATTACCGAGACAACAAAAAAGTATTGATGAATAATAACGGAAGATCGATCAAGATGAAAATATTTTTTTAAATAATTCTACTAAGGGCTGATTGCCTTGATTTGATACTTTTTGAACTTCATATGTAACGAATGGATTATTGTTATATGCTGTAATGAAAAGGATAAAATATTTTATTGAAATATTTTATTGTGAACTAACATTATAACTAAATATTGAACAACACATAGTAAAACTAAACTAAATCCTTTAAAGCTGTATTCAGCAAAATAAATGCCATTCTTCAATTCTGTCATAAATTCAAATATCTGTGAAACTAAAAGAGTAATAAATTTGTAACTTTGTACGAGCAGTGGCATATTTAATAATTATTTTTTTGATAATTTGGCAACTATTATGTTTCACAGATAGAAGTATCTACAAAATTAATTAATTATTTAGCAATGGTAAACTTGGAGATTCCCTCCAAAAGATTGATGTAAGCTGAGTGCTCATATGCTGTGCTGAGGTCTGACAACTTCTGTACAAAGTCATTGCTAATACCCTTTTCTTCCAGCAGATTCATCAAAAGATCATATAGATACTGGAACAATAGGGAAGAATTAAGCATGATCTAAATTGTATCTTAAAAAAATTCAAAGCAAAGAATTTTAACTTTTTTTTTTACTAAATAAAAAAATTACAATTTCCCACATTATTCTTTAGATGATGCAGAATTGTTTGAAAACAATTTCAACACAGAATTTTAAAAAGTTCCAAATTGGTGATTTATTTTAATATTTCAACATGTTAAAAAATGTTGCACTTCAATGAATAATTCATACATTTACTATGAAATAAGCTTCAAATTAATGCACATTATTTCCCCCATAGTTGGCACCTGAGCAACTGCATTGGCAGAATCAAGTATGGCGGTATGGGGGATTACTCATAATACTGGGGTTTGAACCCAGGTTAAGAGGATACTAATCATTCAATAAACCATTGAACTAGAACAGCTTCACATAAATAAAGTGAAATTAAGGTATGCATTGATAGGGCACTTTTTTTTTTTAATTCTTTCTAAGGAGTTAAACTTTAAATGTTAGTTGATAGTCAAAAATATTGTAAATAATTTTTCGGTAAATGACTAGACATTATTGACTATACTGTCATTATTATTTAATATAAAAGTAGCAGTGTCTGAAAGCCGAAGCAAAAAATAAGTGTCTAAGAAAACATATTTTCTTAGAATACCTACCCCATCAAGCACGTCACCAGCAACGGCATAAACCTTGTCAGACCATTCTCCTTTATACAAGGTAACTTCATCAATACCAAATATATCATCTGCAACAAGAGGTTATCTTAAATTCTGTGTATAGTTCTACTAACAACATTTAAAGTTAATTATTTTCACAAGTCTAGAAATGGGTACCAAAATTTATAAGTGAACTCATTTCAGATAATTTCAAGAGATTTGTTTGCTATCATAACCACAGTATCTACTTACTATATTCATCAGCGGTTGTTGTGGGCGGGTCTTGCAGAAAAGAGCAAGTGAATCCTAGAGTTGAATCTCCTCTGACAATATCCACTTCAAATTGTGGCTTGGATCTCATTTCCGCAAACTCTTGCTTCTCAGGCTGGGCGTCATCACCAAAATCTTCAGAATCAACAGTGTGGTTCACATTAAATGTGATTTTGATACTGTAATAGAAGTAATAGGTTGATGAGACAAAAAAATGGTATTGGTGATGTAGAGGTACATTGATCTATGTGGTAATATATATACATGCTTATACTTTGATAACTTCTCAACAAATTAAATATCTTTATTTACAGTTACAGATTATGGAACTACTATCTTATCTAATATTCCTATTGGCACAATTTGGTTTGCCAAATTATATAGTAATAGTCTTTTTGCAAATATAAGAGAATTTAAATAATACATGTGTCATCTGATCATAAGCTAATAGTAATTGGCAGTGAGAGAAGCATATTAATATATTCAGTATTACATTTCATCTTTCAGCTGCTTTGAAAGAACAACCTCTGCACCATCACCCTTCACAGCAAATCCATCAACATCAGCTGGCAATGTCTTTAGTTTCTGGGCTTTACGCTCAGCAACAATCTCTTCTGTCAAGAACTCCACCAACTCTCGTTCACCTGTCATTTTAATGTTTGTGTTACTTTAATTAGGAACATAAAACAATTTCAATACTAATTTGGTATTCTATTGAATAATTTATAACTCTAAAATTATTTCTAAGAATGTTTAATATTTTTATGCAGAATTAAGAAATCAATTCTTATCCTGGATGCAAATATTAATTACTTTACCCTACAATACTTCCATTTACCCATTTTGAATAAATGATAAAATTATTTGGAGGGATTTTTTGTTGTTTGTTTATTTTTTTTAACTGATCACTTTTATTTACAGACAAGATGTTGATCAAACTTAATTTATATTTTCCTGGGATTTGTGCCCAGGACTTCTTGTGCTTAGCGCAATCATAGGAAACTGTTAAAATGTTAATATTGTACTACTTAAGTGGTCACACAAAGAGTCTGAATACTAGGCTGTTTATTCTGGATCTAACAACAAATTATAATAAAAAATATATTCATTATACTGTCTATAGTTTACGCAAGTAGTACACATTTAAATAAAACACTTTCAAGGTACCCGAAACGTCAGGCCGTAGTTAAAAGAATTTTTAAATAAGTTAACTAATATATATCGCGTTTTAAAACGTTAAGTGTTTTATTTAAAAAATATATTTATTAATACCTGTTGTAGCCAAATATTATATTCTTTTGGTATGAATAGGAAATGCATAGAGAATCAGGATTTGAGGAAAGGAACTTACCCAAGGGTCTGGTTTTAGGGGGAGTATGGTCTTGTTGATCTGCCAAAACGATAATTGTTATTTGATTTTTTTTTAATTTCTATAACTGTTAAAATTCTACAACCGTTATAAGATAAGTTCGAATAGAAAACAATTACAATAAGCAATTATACATGGAAAGAATAGTAAAAGTAATAAGAATTAACAGTATGGCGCAATCATAACCTCAAAGATGTAAGATTACCTTTGGTGTGCAGAGCTTTTAAGCCGCAACCACAGCTGCATGTGTTGGAATGATGGAGTAGGCTTGAAGAGGTGGACGTGCTGTCCAACCGTTTGGAACAGCTCATGTGCCAGATGCCTCTCGTGAAATCACGTTTCACAGGGGTTTGCGTTCGGCTAACCACGGCGCCGGCGACGCTATTTTTTACGCAGTTGTGAAAAATTCGGTGTGCTGTTCTTACAAGTCCACTCATTATTGGCGAGTAATTGTTTCCTATTTAATTGTAATGTCAGAAGAGAAAAAAATACAATTACTTTAATAATTTTCGATGTTCTATCACCAAATCTATCACGTTCGCTATCTTTGACAGATATTAATTAGTGCTGCCAGTATTTATAATAAGGCTAAAAGACTCAATAATCAAATAGATTCACATACGATTAACTACATCACTATCATAATTTGACATCTTACCTGCGAAACTGTCAAATGCACGTTACAAATTTCACGTGTTTACTTTTAATTGTAGGAGAACTCTTCTGTTGGAATTAAAGTTTTCCTCATATCGTATATCTAAAAAGAACGTTAAAATGGCCAAGAAGCGGAAATTCACATCAGAAGAACACAATACTCAACAAAAGACTGTACCAGTGGAAGTTGTCATAGAAGATGTAACAAAACACCCAATTTGCCTTCATGGGCCTACTTTATTGTTTTCTTCTGAAAAAGGGAGATACTTTGCTTGTGCTTCGTGCCGCGATAAGAAAGAATGTCCTCTACATATAGACGAAGAAGATTGGAAAAAGGAAGGTGTTAGGAAACGTAATGAAAAATACTATAACCTAATTCCTAAAGTAGATAAAAAAGCCGCCTGGAATACTCTTACCGAGGTAAGACAGATAAAAATTGGCCTTGGGTTAGTATTAGGAGTTTTAAATTGGACAATATTAAAAACTATATTTTTTTATAGGTGAAAACTCGTCATGCATCTGATCGTGCTTATTGTAACACATGCAATGAATTATTTAATATATCTCAGACCAAAAAGCACAGGGGAGATCATAGAGTGACAACGCCCCTTACAGAAGAACAGCTCAGTAACCCCTCATCATGGCTTCCAACATTAGAAAATGACTACCGTGAAGCTCAGTACTTATTTAAGAAGAAAGCCATTACTACTGTGCTTGGTATATTGAAGAATAATAAAATTAGGTAAGAGAATATGATTGTATGTCAAGTTTGTGTCCTTATGAATGAAATCAATGTTCTGATTATTGCTCTGTTTTGTTAGTTGTACTAAGAAGTACTATGTCCAAATTTTGGAGGATAGTCATAGTTTAATAGATCAGTGGATAAGGACACTGAAATGAATCTCAAATTACGTTTCACCGAAAGTTTTTTCTATTCTAGCAATATCCTTTGTATTGGAACACCAACTATTCACGAAGCAGCACAAGCAAGTCCAGAGTTTGAGTCTTTACTCTTAGATTTTGACACTCGGCACCATCAATTCAATGCCCCCAATAAGTTTCTATGGTACAACATGTTTAATAACTATTTGTTTGATGGGAACAATGATGAAAAGATCCTAAAGAAATTCTTGAAAGGGTCAAAGTAAGTTTAAATACATTGTTTTTTGAGGCAGCATCTTTTTTACTAAGATCCACTGCACAGTAATAAATAAAAACACTCAATGTATTGTTTCCAGGGAAAAAGGATTATGTATAGTAATGGACCCACCATTTGGTGGAAGAGTGGAACCATTAATACACACCATCAGGGAACTATCATCCACATACAATCAGATTTGCGAAACGGAGGGAATTTTACCCATCATATGGGCTTTTCCATATTTCTCGGAGCCATATATAAAAAACATGATGCCTGAACTTAAGATGCATGACTATAAGGTGATTTTAATACTATCCTATCTGATGCTTATATATAAATTATCTTGAATACTTGATTCATATAAAAGTATATAACAGAAAATTTTAAGTTACTTTTAATTTTATTAGATCTTTCTTAAGACTGTGAAGGGTTCAAAAGTTGCCATGAATGAGGTTTGCCACTGCCTGGACCTTGAAATTAGATTCTAATAATGCCCGGCTATTTTTATATATAATTCTTAACACTATATTAAAATAGCTACTTAATTACAGGTTGAATATGAAAACCATAAAAAATTCAAGAACAGTAAAAGCGGTAAGCAAGGATCGCCAGTTCGTTTCTTCACAAATCTGCCCTTGCGTACAATAGATCTATCTAATGATAGCAATTATAAATATTGTGAGACATGCAAATATTGGGTTGCAAAAACTAACAATCACTGCAACATATGCAAGGAATGCTGCAGCAAAGATGGTACAAGCTATGTCCATTGCAAGAAATGTAATAGATGTGTTAAGCCAACCTATGAACATTGTGGAACTTGTGAAAGATGCTGTCACCCAAATCATAGGTGTGGAGTGATTGTCGAGTCCCAGGTACTATTCTTTCAGTTGCTTAATGCCTATTTAGTACAACATTTAAGATCTTGTATCATATTACATCAACAATATATGTAAGGCAGAAATTCTTGGCTTATAATCTTTGTAACCTTTACGACAGATCTGTAGTAAGATTAAGTTTCTTTGGTTTCTAAACAGCCAGCAGATACTTGTGGTCTTAGAACCCGGCCTTCTATATGTGTCCTAAATAGATAATAATACTTTCCTTTATTTAAAAGATATTTTCCATATATATACAGAGTCCAATAATAAACTAAATTGGTTAAAAATACATTTTTATTTTAGTCATGCTACAACTGCAATCAAAAGGGGCATAAGCAGTCTCAGTGTCCTCAAAAAACAACAGGAAGAAATAAGAAACGGAAGTCTAATTAATAAATTACTTTAATAAAGGTTTACTTTTAATATAATGTGTTTTTATTGATAGGTAAAATATTAGAAAGATATTGTATAGATAGATCTTAAGGAAGATATAAAAGAAAAGAAAAAGATAAAATATTTATAAAAATCACAGTCAATCAATAAAAACAGAAAAGGACAGCTTTTCTGATTTTGAAGAAAAATTAATAGAAAATCAGGAAAAGGTTAAATTAATGAAAAACTTTAGTTTTGTCTCTGTTGTGTTGTAGCACTATGGACCACTGTAAAATAAAAAGTTTCAATTACTTTTTAACTGTATAAAGTTACAAAGTTTTTAATTGACTATCAATTATGAAAATTTTGTGACCTGCATTTTTAATGGAGGTTTAAGTAGGTATCACCAAAAATTATATTTTTGACAAAAAAGTTTTAATTAATCAAAAAATAGTAGTTCAATTTACTAGTTAACTGTGCAAATAAAAGTTACTAATGGTTTAACACACGAAATATTATCTGTAAAACTAAAAAGATTTATACTAACTTGATATTCAGTCTGTTAAGAACTTCTTGTGTCTTAGCATATCGTTCATGAACCTTTAGTCCTTGTTCCAACCATGCTCCACGCACTTTACTCCATCTTTTCATATTCATAGCTAATAGCTGGCCTTTTGTGGGCAATGGATTGTCCTGAACAGAAAGCATCTTATCGTTAAGTTAAAATAGAAGTTAAATCAATATTTCACTGGATAGTAAGTATATAACATTTCTGATTGAAGACTATTTCTTGAAGAAACAAAAGCTTCAAAAATGTTTTAAGTTATTTCAAGAATTTTCTGGAAAAATGCTTACATAAATCAAATTAATATTGTCCTTATTGACAGCTTTCTGCTCAGGTATTAAATCCGGTACTCGAGAAATGACTGGTCCTTCTGGTCCAGGCAAATCTATCTTGTCCGGAATTCTCTCTTTAGTCTCTTCCTTATGTGGATTCAGGATACTAGAACAGTTATGGAACATCAAATCCTTTTATCTCCTTTGTGACAATTCAGGGGTATATTTAATTATAGGGTTGATGATTAAGCTTTCATTTCCATCCAGATAAAAACATAATTTGGACCTATCCTCAATATTGCTATACACATTTAACTGAGCCTTACAAAAACAATAAAGTACAGGATGTACAAAAAAGCATTTAAATGTTTGCTGTATAAATACAACAGTAGATAAGTCAGCACTATAGAAGGTAATCCATATCTCGAGTCTGAGCTCATTACTAAATTAATTTCTATCAGTAAGTGTATCTGCATAGAAGTCATTTACATATTGCTTTATACACATTTTTTAATTGGAATGGTAGTGTAACAAGTTTTAAAATTAAGGTAAGTTAAAATAAGATAGTTTACCTAACTTTTGAATAGTCTGCCTTAGGCTGATTTATCATCCAGGCTCGGCAGATAGGATAAAGTGGAGTATTGTCATTAAATTGTGACAAATCTACACTTCTGTCAAACAATTTCAGCACATAGGATTGCCTCTGGGGACCGTTTTGGGGCCTTTCTTCTTCTTCCGAGGATTCATCACTGCTATTTATTCTCCTGAAAAATTTTCAAATATCTTGTTTATTTTATTATATTTTGCAATGCATTAGTAAGCATTCAAATGATGACAATAATTGCATATTAATATAGTGTAAATATTTTTAGTTTAAAGTGTATTCACTTTTATAATAGATGTTTGATGTCTATTTTTGGCATGCCTCTGTACCCAGCAGAACATAAATTTTTATGGCTATATTATTTCTGTGCATTGAAATAAAGAAATTATTAGTGGGGTTAATTTTATTTACCTCTCTCGTTTACCATAATCTGACGAATGATCTGACTCCTGAACACTTTGAGATGGCCCCATTATTTCCATTAGTGCACCCTTCAACCTTCCACGAGCAGTAGAAACTTCTGGATCAACTATGAAAGAAAATATATAATTGTAAATTGAATTGTTTAATTGTATGCGTATCTTTATAATGTGAATCTGTTTTTTAAGGAGAAAACTAAGTTGTACGCAAATATTATACATCAAATACTTTAGTAACAAATAATATAATTGTTCGTAAAAAAAACAGGACTATTAATTTTACTGCACTTACTTCGCTCTTCATCTTTTTTAGGAGTGCTTTTAGTTTTGTTCTTGAGTGGCGTAAATCTCCTTCTTTTAGGCATCTTTAGTGTTTAAGAAAATATTGGAAAATGAAACTATGCATTAGTTTAATTAATACTTATTAATAAAAAAATTATATTAAAGGCTTAAGTGCATAAAAACTAATTTTGAATATCGAATGTAATTTAACTATTGTTATTCAAAAACAAATTCGAAATATACGAAGTGTTCTTTTACCGCGGAAAATTTTCGAACTAAATTTGACATTTCATCCACACGTATCTTTTTTACTTGCTATTGATATTCTTTTCTCCCTTAATATATGATTTTTAGTCGTAGATGATTATTTAGTTTATACTTTATAACTCCCACTAAATGCGGAAATTGCCTCATAAAACTTAAATAAGAAATATATTAAAGTGTTCGGCCTTACGGTTAATTAATTAAACAGAATATATAATAATAAATAAATATTATGACAGTAAGTTTAAATGATATTATATTTGTGTGAAAAAATTCATTTTAAATTTATTCCCTACAAGTATAGAAAAGAATAATTAAGCCTAATCAGCCAGAATAAATTACTTTTTTCTTGATAAATTTGACATAATATATTCTGTGACATTGACATAACTCGAAACAAGCTCTTACGGGAGCTTGTCAAATTGTTGCTGTTGTTTTTCGGGACTATAATAACGTATAAAACTAATTATTTCTCACTGAATGTGTTAAACTGGAGTATATGAATTGTAATGGCAACCACAGCTTACGAACATGACGCCGATGGTACGTGCGAGAACTCTTGCATTTATAGATTTTGTAAATATTGTTCTTTTCTTTCATTATTATATTAAAATAATATTGGGAATCATAAAGTTATCTTGATGTATTCACTAATAGGGTAACGTGATACGTATAATAAACTTATACGCATTCGAAATATTATAGGAGCAAAGTTTATACCAGCAACGCAGCGTCCTGATGGCACTTGGAGAAAACCGCGAAGAGTGAGAGATGGTTATATACCTCAAGAAGAAGTACCACTGTACGAGAGCAAGGGAAAGCAATTCAAAGCAAGACAAAACACTGGGTTGCCAGTTGGGTTGACTCCAGAAATAGTGGCAGAAGCAAGAAAATCTAAAAAAGCAACAGGCATTATACAACCTATTCCTGGCATGATTATTAACATTGAAAAGAAGAAGAAAAAGAAGAAGTCAGGTATAACATACACTTTATTCTGATTTTTTATATGATTCCCGTGCCAAATCTGTTTATTGACAAGACCAAGAGAGATGCACTTGCTATAAAAGTGATTCTAAAAATTCCCCAATTGACCGCAAAAGAAAGCATTTTTGCTTTTAGAAAATTAAAGGCCACTGTTCTGAATATGAGGATAGACTAGACTAGACCCTCAAAAAATTCTCTTTTGTATGAAAATATAGGTTTTATAAAATAATGTTTTTCCATTTTATTTTAGCTGTAAATGATGTCTCTGAAAAGTTATCAAAATGTGAAATAACTGAACCTACATTCAAAGAACAGCCCGCTGCCGTAACTGCCTCAGATCCTAACAAGAAACTGAAGAACCTTAGAAAAAAGATCCGAGACATAGAGACTTTAGAAGAGAAGATAAAACTTGGCACACTAAATCCTGACAAAGACCAGCGGGAAAAGATCTCAAAAAAGAATGAAATTCTCAAAGCAATAGAGGAGTTAGAAAAAAGTAGTTTTTAAGGCAGAGTCATAATATTAAATCAACTCATCATAATTATTTTTTTTTTATCTATGAATTATATTTGCCACTGTAAAATAAATGACATTATTTACAATATGATTTTTTTTGCGAGGTATATTATAGAAGAAAATAAAAAAATAAATTATTAATTTGACACTTGAAGAATTATATTTAGGTTACATAACATTAGTAGGTAGGTAGGTAGTTACATGTCATTTACAATTTCTAGACTCTCTTTTCCCAGGCCCTAGAAGAGTTTGTTTATTACCAAATGAAGTGAAAAATCTTGTGAATAAGTAATTTTCCAGTTTTATTTTACATCCCATGTTTGTTTTTGCATGTTTCATGTTCAATTTTTATTTATATTTTCTATTGTTTTATTGTTAAATCAAAATAAATTATACGAATAAAGATTGAAAAGTGTCATATATAATAGTTAAATGCTACTACAGGCTGAATAAATTTGAAACTGATACTGCAACTTGATTAATTAAGAGCATTCACAAAAATACAATTCTAGCTCTTTGTAATATTCTATGAGAAAGGAAGCAATCAAGTTAGATTACAACAAGCAGCAAGTTAATATATAAATAATATATATTAACTTGCTGCTTAAAAAGGCCGGGTGATCAGTCCACATATGCTGACCAGTTCACCCATTTATAAGACTTTATATTGTCAATTAATTTGAAACAAAAATCAATGACCAAGGGACTCAATATTATTTTTGAAATAAAATATTAGCAATTATAATTTTAACCAGCCCCCTCTGTTCTTTTTTTTGCCGTCTTTTTTGTTACACCCATATATAACTATTAATTTTGAGAGATCTTTAGCTCTTTTTTTTTTTTTTTTTTTTGTTTTTTTTTTTTTTTTTTTTTTTTTAAAGATAAAAAACATTAATTGAATGACCTGTAATGGAATTAAAACATTTAATTCCCAATTTTTTTTTTTTTTTTTAAAACGTAAAACTTATCTATATTTGTAGTTAGGAAATAAAACAAAAGTAAATAATTAATGTAAATCTTATTCACACAGATAATACAAGTATCAACAAAACAATGTCTTATTGAAGATAGTGTAATCGCAGCTTGGGTAAGAAATTTAGGAAAAACAAAAAATAATAATTTAGTTCAAAAGCTATAGAACTAAAAGAAATAGACTGTAAAATTTCATAGAGTAAAACAAACAAAAAACCTGAATCAATACATGAATACACCTTTATACTATAATTTGCTTATTGTGGAGTTATGTGGCGAAATTCATCTGTCACAGCACATATTCGAATTGGAATTAGGCAAATATACAAGCCATTGCACAATATATATTTTCACTTAAATAATAATTAATGTTTCCTTACGGCATCTGTAAACAAAGCAATATAACAATAAATATGTCGCAATTTATTGTGAATTAAAAATGTAGGGCTAATATTTAAAAAAAAACATGATTAAGCAAATAGCTACTCTAGAACATATTGTGAAAAATTATGCGTAGTTTCTACGTATTACTATCTTGTTACTTACATCACTTTCATATAAACTCGTTTCTGGCCTTCTGCCTTGCATAATTTCCTAAACACGCGAGTATTCCAACTACAGCGATGCCTATACCCAATACAGTGGCAAGAAAATCACCAAAATCATATCCTTGCGACGCTTCAACATTGGATATTGCAATAAACGAGAATATAACAATGAGAAGTTGGGTATACATTTTCACAACGCATAAACTAAAATAAATCGCGGTAAATGTAATAAACTTAGTTGACCAAAAGTTGACGGTTTGCTGAAAATAAGGTATAACAAAACTCAAAGGGGTAATGTCAACACAAAGCATGAGTAATGACACATATGAACGTAATATGTGTCTGTGATCTGTCATTAATCACTATAGTTTTTTTTTTCATTTGTGGCAAGAAGAACTAACTATTTGCCAGTGTCAAGTTAAAGGCTGTAGTTAAAGGTAGTAAACTTTACACAGAAAAAAGGATATTATGACGGCTTATATATCGTGATCAGGAGAGTTAGGCAAAATTAATATATTAATGTAGATAATCTCACTATTGTTCTTAATAGTTACAATTACTACTATTATACAGACTGTGGGTGTTCTTTGACTTTACTTTCGCTACCTACTTACATATCAATAATTCAAAACGTTTTACATTTTATGATTTGGACCTTTGTTGATAAAACAAAATACTTAAGATTAACATAATAAAGTAACTAACTAACTATAATCGATTTTCAGTTTAAAATCGGAACGTCAGTGACAACCGATTTTAAAAATCGGACATCACTATATAGATTTCGATTCCTTTTCTTGCGAGAAAGGATTTATTGTTATAATAATTGTAATAGACAATATTGTAATTTATTTATGATTATATTTTTAACATTATGAATGTGCGCACAATATAGTTGTTAAATAGTGCCAATATAGGCATGTTTTTCGCATAGTGTTAGCAAAATTATCATTTCAAAATGAGTGGAAGCGGTAAAGGTTTAGGTTTCGCTGGATTTACTATGCCGAAGAGAAATCCATCAACCATGTCGTTGCATGCCGTACCTCCGCCTTCGTCGTCAATGAACAGCGTTCCACCTCCATCAACGGGGCTCTCGAAGCAGGGATACTCGACAATGAATGCCATAACTCAAAATGCTATGACAGGCAACTGGGGAACACTAGGAAAAAAACGCGCTAAAACTGAAGATGAGTACGTATCCATACTAATATAATTAGATTTGTCTGACTAAAAGCTCAAATCTCACAAACTATCGGGCTGAAATTCAACGTAATAATTTTGTAGCTTATACATAGGGCACATATCACTCTCATGACTATGTCTTATTCAGAAAATTAAGAGAATAAACTTTGAATATTTCAATCCAAACATATATCAAAGATTATTTTCTTTTTGGGGACACAATAACAAAGTTTGAAATAAGTATGTGCCCTTTAATTTTATCTTACTGTAAATAGGAAAAAATGATTATGATCAGATGAATGTAATATCAAAAATTACTTATTAAAACATTGGTAACCCTGTTCCTAGGTTCATTTTGTATAGGTTGATAGCTGACAACTCGCAGCTTCTTGCGAGTTGTCAGCTATAAGTTGTGATGTGAAAAATAAAAGTTAATTTTTTTATGCAATATATTTCTTTCTAAATGGTGGTTGCCAAGCATTGTATTAGGCCCAAGACATCCTTGTTTCTAAGCCTGGGGGAACAATAATGAAGAGAAAATTTTTGCCCAGAGAAAGCAATTGGTTTTATTCCTTTGTAGGTTTTGAAGTTCTGTACTTTTTATAGGTATTTTGACGACGATGATGAACCTCCAACACCAGCTCTTGCATATATTCCTGCCCCAGGGAGTCCTACTAATGACATCGCTAGTCAGGTAAAGCTTATTACTAGTAAATTTTGAAAAATCGAATCTAAGTAAATTTATGAGTATACATTTTTTAAATTTTGTTATGAAACCAGTTAGGAATTTTGTAAGAACTACAATTTATGAGTATTCTTATGTTGTCACACTATGTTAAGTAGATAATTTTATCTTCAGAATGATGATGAAGAAGATCCTCTAGATGCTTACATGGCTGGTTTAGAACAACAAGCTGCCAAAGACATGATGACTAGCAAAGAGAATGAAGCAACTGGCAAGGGTGATGCCGGTCGGGGTACGAGAGGAGATATAGATGAAATGGATGATGAAGAGAGTTATTACAAGTAAATGTTCCCAATTTTTTTTTATTCAGTCAGACTGAAAAAGAATAAAAACAAAAAATCACTATTGTTATCATTAATTTGGTATTTATGGTTTCAAATAAGATGGATGAAGTTATAAAATATCTACATGTAGTTGACTTAATAAGTACTTTTTTCTCCTTAGATATATGGAAGACAATCCACTTACAGCAGCTGATGATGGTTCAGATGTAGAAATAGAATACGATGAAGATGGAAATCCAATTCCACCACCAAAGAAAAAGTTCATTGACCCACTTCCACCAATAGACCATTCTGAGATAGATTATGAACCATTTGAAAAGAATTTCTACACACCACATGAGGAAATTGATAAATTAACCAATGAACAAGTTGAAGAACTCAAAAAGAATTTGGGAGTTAAGGTAAAGAATATTCAACTCTTTGAGAGATAGACCAAAGATAAACAAAAACAATTCTCTCATATACAACATATACAAGATGTGTGGGTTTAAAAAGTATTTTCCTTCATGATTTTATTGCTTATATAAAGTGTGTTGTAGGTAAAAAGCTCTCTTTAACACTACTATAGATATTAAGAATGAGAGTACTTCCCGGTTATAGGTAGATTAAGACAGACAAACTAAACTAAACTAATTATTCTGTTTGATTTATTCTTATAGATATCTGGTCCAGAACCACCAAAGCCAGTCAGTAGCTTTGCACACTTGGGCTTCGATGAGCAGCTCATGAAAGCTATTCGCCGTTCAGAGTACTCCCAACCTACACCAGTGCAGGCAGCTGGAGTACCCGCAGCGTTGGCAGGCCGAGATCTTATTGGTAGGTAGTAGGAATATGTCTGTCAAGTTCCTTTCTAAACTACCTCCTACAGTATATCAAGTATACAGAGTATATTAAGTTAAATTGAATGAAATTGGATTAATAATGAATATTATCAAAAAGCTTTAAATCAATTTCAATAAAAACTACTTAGTAAAGATACGTAAATGGATTTGGTCTGCTTTTTGTCAAGCTTCAGTGGCAAAATCTCAATGTCAAAAAAATGTGACTAATATTATCAAAACATTTAGGACCAATTGTGCATTAGAATACTATTGACTTATAAATTAGAGTGATAGATTAGAGAAACAGATATATAAATGTTCCACTCTTTTTTTGTTCTAAGTTAATTAGTATTTAACAAATGTTCGTGTCTACGTGTAGGTATTGCTAGAACGGGTTCCGGAAAAACCGCAGCATTTTTATGGCCTCTGTTAGTACATATAATGGACCAAAAAGAATTGGCACCAGGCGATGGACCAATTGGCCTCATACTTGCACCAACAAGGGAATTGGCACAGCAGGTAAGATTTAACTACATTGCTTTCCATAAAAAAACATAACTACCTCCTTTTTCCATCCATCCAACCTCTTTGCTTTTGGCTGTTATTTTTTTAATTAGTATCATTTTATTTCTACAGCCAGTATGTAGTTTTTTTTTGTAATTACAGATCTATATGGAAGCAAAGAGATTTGGAAAAGTATACAACATACGATGCGTGTGTTGTTACGGTGGTGGGTCAAAATGGGAACAAACTAAAGCTTTAGAAGGTATACTACAATATTATTGTTATCGAAGGTAGAATATAAAGTAGTTTAAAGATAATGAAATAAACATATTTCTGTATCCGCTTTAGTGCTCGGATTTTTACAGGCATGTAGTTGATCAGAATTCTCTGCCAACCAAAACAAATTGTTTCCCTGGGAGTAAAAGTTACTACAATTAAAATACTATTAATATTCCAGGTGGTGCAGAAATAGTGGTAGGAACACCGGGAAGAGTTATCGACTTGATCAAATGCAAAGCTACTAATTTAAAACGGGTTACCTATCTGGTGCTAGATGAAGCGGATAGAATGTTTGATATGGGTTTTGGTAAGTTAATCTTTTTCTTACTCTTGCTGTTGAAAAGACTCTTTGTCATTGTTAGTATATTTAGACTCTTCTTATTTACACTATTAAAAGATTTATAATTACTAATACTTCTTTGGATTAATGTTATTTAAAAATTGAATAGTTTGGTGTTCGCCAGGGTTTCTCTGAGCTTTTAGGTCCTCTGGTTTACATATTATACACCAATGACAAACTACATCAAGAAACAAATAATAAATAGTACAGAAATACACTTTGTATACAAATATAGTTATTTTTATATGCTGTTATATTATTAGAACCGCAAGTTCGGTCGATATGCAATCACGTGCGTCCCGAAAGACAAGCTCTACTGTTCTCCGCGACGTTTCCCCGACGGGTGGAGAAGTTGGCTCGCGATGCGTTGCACGATCCTGTCAGAGTGCAGCATGGCGCTGCTGGTGAAGCTTGCCATCTTGTTACACAGCATGTTCGGTAAGTGGATATCAAAATATAGCAATGGATCTGATTTCAAGTGATGGTCTGATGGTATGTATTGCTGATAATTAATCCCAGCGGGTCTAACAACCGATTTTGTTTGGAAACCTGTTGGACTCCAACTGAAAATCTGGTTAACTGAGTGGTAGGAATGTTGAAATTACGTGCGAGTCACAAACCACCGTCCACAGATGACAAAGCTGTGAAGTTTAATCACGTTTAATCTGTGGATTTCCGAATATCCAAAGCCAAGATAGGTAGGTCGACAGTGCATCTTGTTGAGCATATGATATATGGCTGCGGTATATCACCTTCCATCTAGTGAACCAAATGCTTATCTGTCCTCTATAATAAAAGTAAATCACAAATTTAATGGAATTGACCTTTAACTGAGATAATGTATTATTGTAATGTAAAAATTGATTTCAGAATATTTAACAAACCAGAGGAGAAATGGCCCTGGCTACTCCAGAACTTAGTGGAAATACTATCCGCTGGCAGTGTTCTCATATTTGTTACGAAGAAGGTATTTTTTTTTGTCTTCTATTGATAATACCAAGTATATCCTAGTTGGCACTCTGGTCTATTGTACAATAAAAGGTTAAATGTATATAATGTTAATTAAGCTGTGTAAAATTCATTCCATATTTCACCACTTTTCCATAAAATAGTATTGTTAGTACTTTTAGGTATTATGCCTTATATTAATTTTAGTACATATTACTATTTTCCTAATTTGGACCCCTGTTTGAGTAAAGTAGTAACCACTAATCTAAATAAGATCTTCTTACTTATACAGCTAGAAGCAGAACAGACAGCAGCAAACTTAGGTGTGCAGCAATACGACGCGCTACTGCTGCACGGAGACATGGACCAGGCGGACAGGAACAAAGTCATTACTGCCTTCAAACGACAAGAACAGAACATACTAGTAGCTACAGATGTAGCAGGTACTTTTTCAGTTTTTAATATTAAATCAATGATAGATATTGTAGTAAAAATTTATATTAAAACTGGGTCTTTCATTATTTGTCGGAAATCGATTACATATGCTTATTATATACAAAACTGTCTGTTGAGTACAAAACATTTTCAACGATGGGCAACGCGAAAATATTTTTTGGTTTTTTTCCCCCCCGCTTGGGGGGAACCGCGGGGGGTTAAAAAGGGGGGGGGGGGGGCCCCATTTTCCCCCCCCCCCCCCCCCCTTTTTTTTTTTTTTTTTGTGGGGTTTTTTGGCGGGTTCCCCCCAAACCCTTTTTTGATTAAATAAGTTTTTTAACTGGTTTTTTTTTCCTTTTTTTTTTTTTTTTTCCCTCTTATGCGAGAGGAGATTCGGCCTATCAGGGGAACACATTGTTTGCGGTACTCATTTGTTTAATTAAAGTGTATTCAAGAAGTTTGTTTAATATAAATAATTATTATTTAGCCCGCGGTTTGGACATCCCCCACATCCGCACGGTCGTGAATTACACGGTTGCGCGAGACATAGACACGCACACGCATCGAGTGGGGAGAACGGGGAGAGCGGGCGTACGCGGTGACGCCTACACGCTGCTCGCTAGACACACGGATAAGGACTTCGCTGGGCATCTGCTGAGGAACTTGGAGGGGGCGCAGCAGGTTAGCCTATGCATACTAATATTATAAATCAGTGTTTAACGGTCATCTCAAGAACTGGATCGAATTGAAAAAAATATTTTCATGTAGGTTGAAGTATTTATCGAGGAGGCTATAATTATCATTATAAAAAAACATTGATAAAAAAATTGGACCGAGTGGGGATGCATTTTACACTGAAGATGTGAAAAATAATACTGTTGTAAAATAATTTATTTTGTTTGTCATCCAGGAGGTGCCGGAAGAGTTGACACAACTAGCGATGCAATCGGCTTGGTTCAGAAAGTCTCGCTTCAAGAAGGGCAAAGGAAAGAATCTGAACATCGGCGGATGTGGTTTAGGGTGATTAACATATATATTTCTATAGATAAAACACTTTTAACGGTTTAGTATGCGATACATATTAGTTAACTTCTTAAAGATTTCATTCTATATACGCGCTTTATCATTGTGTATATAGGACTATGTGTATGTGTACAGTACAGAATTACTATGGAACTGGTTGATATAAAAATTCTGTTGTATTTTTTTAAAATCAACTATTTATCTAATTAATCGAAAATATAATATTTGAATGTTACAAAATATTTTTCATAATGTTTAAATTGTGTTTCAGGTATAAAGAACGGCCTGGACTACCGAATGTGTGCGAGGAACCAGTGGTGAATGTACCAGCCGGTGGCCCAGCTACAGATAGACTGGCTTCGCTCAAACAGGCTTTCCGCTCGCAGTATAATAAAGTAAGTGATAGAAGTGTACCGACCAAAATGCCTCCATTAAACCAGTAATTCTTTCCAAGGTAACTGCATACGGAATTTATATAAAATCCCTAGTGAAGTAAAAACACTGTCAATAAATAAGTTTAAATCGTTTGTTTAACAAAAACTGCTTGGAAAGGGTTATTATAAAGTTAATGAATATTTAAATGACAACAATGCTTGGGGTTTTTAGGTACTCGCTCTAATAAGAAAGAGGATGTACACATTAAGTGCCTAAGGATTGTAACTAAAACTTGATAATAAAAGGGAGTTTCTTGCCAGTTCTTCTCGTTCCTTAACCGTATTGACGTTCGTAATTGTTCCTAGATGACTTTGATTGGATTTGTAATTTAAGGCTGGCTCGTTGGTGTTATGGTAGCAATGTGTATATGTATGGGTAAAATTAAAGGTCTTCGTTCGATGCCAACCGGGTTCAACGTGTATAATCCATTTTATTTTTTAAGATTCCGAAATTCCGTCTTTGTCACGAATCGTCGTTCATTCCCGAATTTGCAAAGCCAAAAATAAGCCAACAGCGTATCTAACAACTCAATAAGAAATACCCCAGTATTTTACCTTCCATCGAGTGAACCTCGTTCTTGTCTATCATAAAAAAAAGAAGACTAATAGTAGAAGAATTTAAATTTAAGAAGTTTTTGTCCTTGATAAATACATCATATATTTCCAAATATCCAAAAAATAGGTCGAATGCGAGTCTTGTTGAGATGATAATAAAAAATATAGTTGCGTGTAAACAAGGCGTTTCTTATTTTTCACATTTTTTTAATTGTAAAATTTTGTTCGTTTTCAGTTCACAGCGTCAACCGACCACTCCTGGGAACAAACGCGGCCCGCTCTCCAGCCCGGAGTGAACGCGCCCGCGGCACAAGAAGAGAGAAGAGTGAGAAAGGGGGGGAAGAAAAGTCGTTGGGAATAGTCTATATTTAAGAAATAAAGAATTAATATTATTTAATTATTATCACAAGTGTGTTTTATTTATCTGGCTGGTTTCGCTGGCAAATGGGTCTAATGTTAGCGATGTATGGCTTATAATTAAAGGAGCGTAGGTTCAAAATGTTTCTAAAAATAACTCATAATTTTTCTGAACTATTAGACATTTCTGGAAATCATAATGAGAAAAGTGGTAGAAATATCGAAATTCCCTCCGGGTACCACCATCCACGGATTAAAAGCCGTGCAATTTAATTGCGTTTCGGTTATAGTCTATGACTTTCGGGGTGTTTAAATCCAAAATATATCATTATCATTGTCTCTAATACAAAAAAGTATCAAGTTGTCAAGTAAACTAGATACCTTAGTATTAAATATATAACATATATAAATTAAATACCTGCTATGCAAAAGTAGATTCATAAAGAAAATTCGGTAATGTTTAAAAGGTAGTGATATCCTTTTCGCGCGTTTTGATAAATGCCTTCTGATTGATTTAGGAAAAGAATCATTAAAATCTCTTATCGTTCGTTCGAACAGCAGTTAAACTTGGCAAACTAATGTTTAGCTATCTAGCGAATGGCGTGCTAAGCTACAGTTAGTTGAATAAATTAAAACTTTGGCGCTATTAGCTGCTTTAACACTTCACGTGCTTCCGTATTAGTGTTACCCTGCAATTTGTGTCATCACGAAAATCAGTCTAAAATTAGTTACTTTGATTCTATACATTTCTGTATATGGACTCGCTATAAATACTAACATTATAAATGCAACGTTTTTTGTCCCCCCTCACTAAGAAATCACAACGAATACTACAACGAACACTACTAATACAGCACTTATTACTAGGACTTTGACGTCTGTCTCGCAAGACACTCTAAGAACAGCGATGAGAAAACGGTTCTAGTTTTACAAATTATTTATTTATGTTGTTGTATACAAAGCTACAATAAGTCGATAGAGCATCTTGTTTACATGTTGAATGGCACTGAGGAAGATACTTATATGGCTAGGTTATTTCATGGTCCATCAAGTAAACTTGATACTCGTCTGTCCTCTTATATAAAAATGAAGCAAAAATAAATAAATTTAGGGCTTTTATTAAAAACAAGGCATTTATTGCCTTTTTCATAAATAGATGTACATAATAATTTCATAAAAATATGCACAAGTCGTCAAGTACTTTTCCAACTGTGTTAGTTTTAACTCGGATATTTGTCACCATAGGCCACCAGCCTACCCGCAATAATTTTGTTACCTTTTACAAACGTGTTCATAAAAGCGGTCCAAAATGTCATCTGCCAATGTTTTACTAACTTCGAGGCGAATGTAGCAATTAAAGAACTTAGAACAACAAACGAAACTCCATTAAAGGAAGACGGTTCGCTTATTGGCAATTCCGTGACTGCTATATTTTAGTTCTAATGTGCTCGGTTTTATGATAATATTTGATGGTGTATAATTAGTATCTTTGACGTTAGTGGGTAATCGGGTTGGTATTAAGTTAAAAAGTAGGTAATCTACTGAAGTAAAATAATTACTTTAGTAGATAAAAATGAAAATATTATAGTATAAAAGTAAAATACATTGAATGAAATCTTGGATAAAATCGGAATTTTAACATACGACTACGTTATGGTATTCCAGACCTGTATTTTGACTTAGAAACAGATCATTTGTGGATATAAATGATAGCACCCAAGTATTTCCTATTGTGTAAATTGGGTGTGTGTATTTGTTAAAAATGAGTAACATTTAAAAACTTGTGATAACGTCGGTATGTCGAAGTAGATATGTTCATTATCTTTTACGAACTACCTACCTATATTCTACCGACTGTAGTATTTTATCGTAACTGTGTGGTCTAAAGATAATCCCTAAAAGGGGCTACAACCAATCACCAATTTCAACCGTTTTAGGGTAACTTATTTAAAAAAAAATTTAGTTTTTAAAGCAGTAAATCTTGCTGATCGTAAGCACATGTGAATATGTAATAACAAACATTTCTGTTGAATCTGAAGTTAGTACATTTTATGACGATATTAGGCTACTGAGTCAAAAATTAAATTGCTACTGTACAGAAGAAAGATTTATGTCAAACTAATGTTATGACATAAGTAATATCGGAAGTTTTCGAGAATGGTATATATTAAATAAATCACTTTTTAATGATTTAAAACGTAAACTATTGCGTCGCAATGTGACCACGGCTGCTATAGAGCATCCAGATTATTTTATTATTACAATATAGCTGTGCCAGCGACTTCGTCCGCATCGAATAGTTATTTTGTGCATCCAAATTTGTATTTGCAAACCTCCGCCTTATCTTTATGAATTTAAGCTCCCCACGACTTCGGTCGTGTCCCGTTGCTCAAGACCCGTCGTTCGGATCCCGTCGTTCTTCCAAGTTAATCTTAAAAGATAGACATTTAGTGTCGCGGACATTTTTTTAGATCATTTAAAGGCGAATCATTCTTTTAAGTTATAAAACAGTTAAAATACAAATATTTTTGGGTGCCTTGAACTGTTTTTTAGCGTAAGCATCTGAAATCCACAGAGATGAAAATATTCGCCCGTTTTGTTCACATTTCCTGCTGTATCTTCGCTTCTATTAGTCACAGCGCAGCTATGTTGTAACCAACACAAAAAAAAATTTAATTCGAACCCGTAGTTCCTGAGATAAGCGCGTTCAAACAAACAAACTCTTTATATATTAGTATAGATGCGAGGAAGTAACATAGTTCACGTTATAAATTTATATTATAATTTAAGATTCGCTGTAGTTGCTAATAATATACTTTAGCAACGGATAAGGAATTAACTATATGTAAAACAATTGATTGACCACAGAATATACTGTTATTATTGTTATCTATTTCTATAATTAACATATTTCAGGAAGAAGCAAGCTCAAAAGTCATTCCGATTAATGGATCAAACTTATTTCTTTGATAAAATCTGTGAAAAGGTTTTGAGGCGCGAATTAATGTACGCAAACAACTTCCGCTCCATCGCGCGCCAAGTGCTCAAAGCAAACACTCGGTCCAAGCGGCATGTTGTGTTCGCGCCATTATTAAAAGAGGCGGGAAAACATTACCATTTCTTCTAGCTCTGTGGTTTCGGTTCTTTTTTAATGGATTGTTTATTATAGGTACGTGTTTTTTTTTGTTATTTAATTTTTGATATAATCTGTGCAATCGTGTTAAGGATACTTGGATTTTCGTACTTTATACAATTAATTACATTGATTAAAAATTTACAAATTGTATTATTTTTCATACGTGATGGCGCAATCTATAATTTATATTATATCATCATTATATAAATTTAAAAATTGTGTCCTTTGGTTACAGCAACAGCACGGAACGCTGTGGATAACGGGTTTAAGCCCGTTCGTGTAATAATTATTTAAATTAAATAGATTTTTGTTTTAACTAGAAATTTATAATGATTACCATTGAAAACGGCCTATATTTTTATTAAATTATAAAATCCACAAAAAAATAAATACAATTTGATAACCTCATTTTAGTTTTGAAATATACTGTCGTTTAGTTTGAATATATTTTTTAGAACGTTTCGTAGTAAATTACACAGAAAATAAAATATATGTAAATCATACAACTAGCAATATTTCAACTTCAAGACCGTACCGTCAAAACTTATCTGTATTTATTTAAATCAAACACTTTAACGGTTTAAATACGCGAGATATTTTAGGTTAAACTTGTTTGAAAATTATTTTTAACTACGGCCCTACTATTTTTAAAATATATCACGTTTTAAACCCTTAAAGTGATTTATTTAAATGTGTACTACTCGCGTAAACTACAGACAGTCTGTATTTATTCAACAAAAATAAATATTCGTTTAAAGCTTGTATATTTTTATCTGACTCAAGCGCAATTCTAGTTTTTACTTTATTTATCATTTGTTTAAATACATAAAAACTATAAAATATTACTTCAGTGAAACATCTTTATAATGTTTTATGTATGTCATTATGCGTCACGGAGTTAAATTTTTTGTGACTTGAATTTTAAAGTATAAAAAGTTAACGATACACTGTAGCTGTTTAATTATTGCACGAGTGATAAAAAAACAGGAACCGACCTAATAAAATTTGCATATGTATCAAAATAGCATTAGTATTTTACGTTAGATACGAGTATATAAAGTCATGACTTAATAAACCTTACTTATGACGTATAATTTCAATATGTGCCTTGCCCTAGTGGTTAGGAAATACGACTCCAAAACTGGAGGTCTTGGAGGTTCCAGCACTAATTAGGTAAAAGGTTAATTTAAAAAAATAGGTTATTGCAGAGGGTTTAGTGGAATTATATGTGGAGTTTCAAACTCTCTCTTTCTTTATAGGTTGATGTGATATGTCTTTTATACTGAATTTTATTTACTACAAACATTCACTATAAGTTAGTAAGTTTAAGAGGTGACAGACAATAAACCCTGAAGTATTTTTCATGTTATAATTTGGGTGACCTTTATATGAATGGAATTAAGCTTTGTTTTATATTGCTCTTTTTTATAAGAAGGAAGGTTATTTTTTGCCTCTCCCTTCTTAAAGAATTTAAGGTACGTAATAATTATGATTGTGATAAAGAGGTACTTACTCGACAAAAATTAAAATCAAAAGTGAAGTAAACGTTTGCAAAGTAAAATGTAAGGAAAGTAATATAGGCCAACAGCTATAACAATACCACACAATAATGTTCCTAAGAGAAACACTCATGTTAACCTTTTTCATACATACTTCGCAAATTTTCCCGTTAAATAAGAAACGGCTAAAATTGAAATCGATCTAGTGGTTCCTGACTTTATCATGTATATTATACATTTGAAACTATGAACTCTATATTAATTTTGTTAACTTGTAAGAAGTACTAATAACAGTATTTCTAACAAAAAAACAGATATTTTCTACAACCTACCTTGCGGCGAAATCGCAAATATTATATGTTTGTTTGATTGTTTGAACGCGCTAGTCTCAGGAACCAAATTGTTTTTGTGTCAGTTAGAGCATTTATCGAGGAATGCTATAAGCATACAACATCGCGTTGTGACTAATAGGAGCGAAAAAGTCGCGGGAAATGTGAAAAAAGCGAGAGAGAATTTTCATCTCTGTGGGTTTCCGATGCGTACGCTGCGAAAACAGTTCAATACACCAAAAAATATGTACGACAGAATGGTTCCGTTTTAAATGATCTAAAAAAATGTCCGAAGTCGCTAGTCATATATAACTAGTGTATTATATGTGTACATAGTAATTTTTTAGGTTCGTGTTAGTATTTTTGTTCTAGTATACTTATATATTATGTTTCGTTTTGTTAGTTAAGGTTATAAGTCACTATCGCATCGGATTCCGTCCGAAAGAACAGTGGATATTTGTAAATAAATGAATAAATAAAGATTTCCTTAAGATAAAACAAAACTGCCAAAATCTTTACCCTTCTTGGCTTGGCCGTTGTCAGTTAAAAATGAAATCAGCTTTAGCAGGTCAATAGAAACCATCAAACAAATGTAGTTTTGTAACAAATTAGGCGCGTCACAGGCCACTGCCTCGACCTTCCACCACAATACGCTCACAAATTACATGTCATTTTGCGTTTTTACTAAATATCGAGTATCTGACAAGGACAGATAAGAATCGTTCATTAGTATAGTACAGACGCAATCTTTAAGGAAAAGTTCCATCACATACAGCACTTTAAAGTACAGACAGTATTTAAGATAAAACTAATGTGCTAAAATCGAGTTCATGGGACGCCTCATAAATACCGATCTCTTCCAGGCAAAATATAAAATATTATCTTACGGGATTTATGCATGGGTAAAGAATTTGTGTATTGTATACTGTTAAAAATGTCTGTGATTTGTGTCCTAGATACAATGTAGATAAAACACTTTAACGGTTTAAAACGCGATATATTAGTTAAACTTTTTTGAAAATGATTTTTAACTTCGGCGCGACGTTTCAGAGTGGTCACGGGTCTCCCCGTCAAATAAGTTTAACTAATATATCGCGTTTTAATCCGTTAGAATCCGTAAAAACTATAGACAGTATTTAAATGTAGGTAATTTTACCGGAGGATGTAGATATTTACAAAAGACTAAATAATTGAACTTGCACCTAAAACATATTATTATATCTTTCTTAAAATAATCATATATTATGTGAGTAAAGTATAGTATTGTTTGTACTCCCCCCGTGATCACGGCTGCTGCAAAGCATCCGACGCCGGGCGGCAGTTCACATTATATTTAAATCAATAGATTCATGTGAATAATCGATTATCGATTGTGTAACATAAAGTACATGGCTTTTTAAAAGTGTATCCCGGTAAATACCAATATTTCCAGACGACCGGATAGAGCTACACGCTTCTGCATTGCCTTTGTTATGATAGGAATTGAATGGACATTACATCTTCTGATTGATTCCATTCGGTCATTACCGTAGCACACAATGATGTACAGAGTCAAAGCTGTCATTGTCGCGTTTCCGGCGGAAGCGACTTTATGTAACGCCGGTCATGCGAACAGGTGGCCATGGGCGTACTCTGGACAATGTCGAAGTTCATTTCGTTGTTTTGAAGTTCCATATTCTAGTCCCGTCATATGCGTTCCTTATATTCCTATCTGAACAATGAAAAAAAGTAGAATTGAGCAATTATGCATGAACATATGCTTATATTTATCCTTTTCGACGATAGTTTACCGTAAAATGTAAAACAAACATAATTTGTACTTATGAATGAGCTAATAATATTTATTGTACTCGTAAATGCTTAATAGAAAGAAATTAAAATTCTATTTCTACTATATATTTTATTCTCTAGCAATGGGTTCCAGTGCATCAGCAGTAAGCGAGATCCCAGGAGCTGATCTCCGCCTTCCGAGCTCTGGGTTGCGCTTCACTGCAACCCATCTTAGGAGTCTAAATGCCTACGTTGACACGTTGTATGAGGAAGACCAAAAAGGTAAAGTCAGATTTTGTTCACTGGTATACAGTTAAGATACAGAGACAGTTGATCGATATATTCTGACATCAGGTCGTATGTCAGTGGAAACGGAGATGACGGTGGAAGCTCTAGTTCAGAGGATAGTGGATGGTGCTGGACAGAGAGATCCTCGCTTCAGATGCAGCCATTTAATAGCGTTACATCGCGGAAAGAGAGTAAGATATATTTTCTACAATTAATTAATATTTTTGAGATAATTCGACGATGACTTGTAGAACGCTGTAGCTTAATTGGTAAGAGCGCTCGGAACGCTGTGGGTGCCGGGTTCAAGTCCTGCCCGAGTCGTGTATTGAATCGATTCGAATTGATGAATTCCTTGTTATCTTGCATTTTCACTTAATCTTTGTTTATCAACAGATGCGTTCGCGATCTCTAGAATACCTGGTAACGATAGATGCTCTTCCACCTTTAAACACAGACGATGCTTGTCGTCTGCAAGAAGGTCCTGTGGGTTATGGAAAGGTGAGGCTTTCTGGACGTGAAGCAGACCAATGGTCGGAGTTTCTTACTGCCGCTGGATATCTGTGTAGGTAGGGATATAGTATAATATAGTAGGTATGAAGTGAAATATAGTAACGAAAATATTCCATGATGGGTAAAACGGGAAACGACAGACAGCGTAATTATTAACTAGGCTGTGTGTCTGTCACCAGACTATGCTAAAATAATAATAAAAAAGAATGGGAGAGGGACTCTCGTACAAAAATAAAATTTCCTATTTTTGCTCAACATCAATAAATGGAAACGGTAGAAAGAGAATATAACATTTGTGTATCTAGTCAATCAGACACGCACTTGGCCGTTTTTGTAATTGTATATTGAAGACCCTTTACACAATTGTTTGTCATTTGAACTATTATAAAAGATAAAAACTTCTTTTCCTATAATTAATATTTTAGTATTTTTTGATATTTTGTATACATTAATATTTATTGACTTAGGGATAAAGTAGTAGAGAGATGGGTGCAGCTTCTAGCGCGCTGTGCACAGGCGCGTGGCGGAGGCGCGTCTCGAGTTCTCTGCGCCCGCGCACATCAACACGCACAGCCCTACTCGTATTGCTATATTGAAAGTAAGTTATTATTATCTATACTAAAATAAAAGTTTAAAGCTGAAGCGTTTGTTTCTTGAACTCGCATATCTCTACTGGAACGAATTGAAAAATCCTTTATGTGTCGGTTGTACCATATTTTATCGAGGAAAGCTAACAGAAAAAAACAGTAGAAAATGTGGGAATAACGGGAAACATTTTTCATCTTAGAGGGCTACTGTTGCGTGTGCTGTGACAGAGGTTTGAGATATTAAAAAAATATACATAGATTCTTCATTAAATGAAACTAAAAAAAAGACTCCGACAGTATCTTATAAGATTAACTCGCGAGAACGACGCGTCAGGACTTGGACGACGACATGGGTAAGAGCTATAATTTATAAAGGAGGCTGTTTGCACGCGGACGAAGCTAGCGACATATAAGTATGATTTAAAAGGTAAAGTCCAACTATTATTTAAAATTAAATTTGAACAGTCAGAACCCACCCCGGCAGATATCGTAAATGACGGTAGTCTTTCAACTATGGGAAAGGAAAATAGGTCGAAAACTTAATTATTTCATTCAGTTAACCTCACCCTCATCTGTGTTCCTCTATAAACGAAAGAACTAAAAGTGTGATTCTGTGTTAAAAGCAACGCAGGATTTATATAATTTAAAAATCGAAGATAAATTGAACTCGGGCAGGACTTGAACTGGCATCGTCAGCGTTCTGTGCTGTTGCACTACCAATTGATTAGTAAATATGTCTTAATGACCATATTATTATGTAGATAAGTATACGTTTGTTTATGTGGTTTGCTGTGTGTATTGTCTTTATCTCTCTATATACATATCAATAGTCAATAGTCAACGCTGTGTTACTTATAAGTTAGGTACATAAGAATTATTCTTACTATAATCAGCTTTAGTAGTTTAAAACATGTTTGTTACTTAGTCAGTAAGCCTTATTAAATAAATAAATAGATTGAGCTACCGAGTCCTCCTGGATTCGATAGCTCAATTGATAGTGTCTTCATGTAAAAAATATTAAAGTTTTCAACCGCAGGATTTTTCAAAAATTTAAGCTATAAAAAAGGAAGTTGATATGTATAATTTTATATTACCTCCACGTACCATGCCTCGCATGGTTGCTGCAAAGCATCGGTTAACAGGTGTTTTATTTAAATTTCTATAACTCGCGTAAACTGGAGACAATAATTTTTGTTTGTATGTTTGTCTATTAAACGCAACTGAATACTTACGATACAGCCGTGACCATCAGAGCGCGCTATCTCGCGTACCGTGGCGGAAAATAATTGGAAATTTACATAAATTTTCCAAGTTCCACGACTAACTTCGAAATTTGGTTATGTGTATCACCAAACTTGCTCTGTCTTTAAATGAAATATACATTACCTCGGCGAATAGGGTGTTTAATCACTATATAATGCCGAAACTGGACTTCGGTTCGTGATAAGAAATGTAGAAGAAGAAAATTGTGTCCTTGCTTTTTATGTCTGATGATTTTTGCAAAAAACTTATACATACTTTGGATATAGAAATAATCAGAACGTAAACATATGTTGTGTGTATAGAAAAAGTACGTACTTTATGTAGTTTTAAAGTTGTTTACACGAGTAGTACATATTTACAAAAGGCACTTTCAACAGTTTTAATCGTTATATCGTGATCACAGAGGCCGGCTGGTGCAAAACATTCGAAACGTCGGGCTGTATATATAATAATTTAACATTAAGTTAACGAATATATTTACATTTGTAGTATAGTCTACAAGCTATTTAGTCCATAGTATCGTTGTAGAAATAAAATAAACCAGCTTTGGTAATATAATACATTGAAACGACCGCTTCTTGGTTCATTAGTTAACATTACATAACATGCGTTAAGCTTGAGAGACCCTCCTGCTTCTGAGGTTTGAATCCCAGAAAGTAATAGTTGTAATGTCGTGCAGGACATATAAGTTAAATATTTGCTTGTAAAAACAATCATTCTTTTAAACGAACTCAAAATGTGTTCGCCTTATGCCTGACGAACAAAAAAAAAACAGAATTCCGAGAAGAATGCAAAAAAACTTCTATCAAAACTTGTATAGCGTTTCAAAAATTTGTTGACCCGTTTTTCGCTGCAAGCCCACTTTGTCCCAAACTTGGCACAAACAAGTAGCTTCACGTCAAACTACTCGTATTAAACTGCATGCTGCATACTGATAATAGGGGTCGGAATGACAAGTTGGCAGTTGGCGTTCGCATATGCACACTGCCAGAATATTCTACGGATTAAGATGTTTTTCGGTTTTTGTTAAGGTAGAAAGGATGGAAATTTACTACATTTTATATTCTATGATAGAGTAAAATAGACGAATGATAACCAAGTGATATATCCCAGATATATAGATATCGTATATCTTCTTTATGCGAGCGTGGGTTAAAATATCCGCAGCCTGATGAACGCGAATAAACTTTATCATCATTTATAACTCTATTTATGTTTTGATGCTCCTAAGATGTAATTACTTTTGTTTGCTTAGATTGTTGAAGGCTAAGCCTTTCGCAGGACTGGCAATAAGAACAACTGTAATAAGAAGTTTCGGCAAACACTCTTAGTTCAATTATGTATAATGCATTTACCAAGATTTTTTTTTAGATAGAGTTTCGAATAATTTATATCGACTAAAATATACCTACTTAAAAATATAGGACTTATTGTGACGGACAAAGTAGACAAACATCTATAACACGTCATCTAAATGAATAGAAATGCTAAATGGAGGAAGTTATTTTAGAGTAAAAATCAAATTTACAGCATCACAGAAAACGTCAACAGAACGCCGGTTAGCCATAGTGGAGGGGGCAGCTTGGGTCATGCTAAGAGTAGGAGCTGGTGAAGCCGAAGCCAAGCTGATGCTAGGCTGTCGCGTGGGCGGCTGCAGCCCACACGCTTATACCAGTTCGGTGCCCATAACGCATCCACTCGCACTACTGCATTATAAGGCTGCTGTAGGGGTGAGTACTACTTTTAAAGTATAAAAAAATGTATCCCCTTTTGGTCTTGCAGTTATTTCATCTGTCACTATATATGTTGAGAAGCGCGGTAGCTATAGAACTCCATCTTTCTTTTGCATAATTTTGCTCTATTATGCCTTTTTATCTTTTATAGTTTTAGGTAACTATCTAAAATATTAACAAATGATTGAGTAGTATCCATGGTGTGGACTGTATGATGTGACTTTAGCTCTTTAACAAATGCTATTCAATGCTTCCAGGGCTATTACGCAGTGGCTGTCGGCCCCCCTTCATCCATGGTATGCGCTGAACGCTCATCCACTTGGCAACTGTGGCATCCATCATTGGAAGCAGTTTTAGATTCCCACTGTGCTGAGTTCTCCAATGTGGGGAGACTAGCTGGGGCTCTAAATGTCTTGGTGGACAAGATGAGGGAGGGATGCTATGAGGTAATGCTTAAAGGACTTTTTTACTGATGGTGTGAATGTATAATACACGCCCACGTCACAGTGGTGGTCAAGAGGCACGTCGGTGCACGTGGTGGTACGTCGCACTACACTAAACAGGGGATAGGGATAAACTAATGAGTCGCAGGAATATTGAAACTCCGCCTGAGTGACGAACCACTTGTCCACAAATGAAAAAGCCGTGAAGTTCAATCTTTTGGGGTATATCCGAATGTCGAGCCAGAAAAGAGCGATAACACATCTTATACACGTATTTTAGACTATATCGTTGGTAAGGTAGAACATTACTGAACATTACGGGGACCAGTTTTCGAATGCTAGTAGGGTCAAATTTCTAGTGTCACCCGCGACTGTGGAAGATGTTAGCGGTGAGTACGTTATTCCGTTAGTGCTGGTTATCAATTATTCAGTGATGGTGGTTGTGCTGCGTGCAGGCCAGTACATTTTCCGACCAAAATCCAATCTAATAAATGAAAAGGTTCTATAGAAAATTTGTATTTTCATCTTGATACTTTCTAGACGTTTGAAGCTAATGTTTGAAGTATGTAGTGGTCGTTACGAAGTCGAAGTGTAGCTATAAATTTCCGAGCCAACGTTTATTACATGTGTGGCGAATGATTTAGAATGGTATTTTGCAAGTTTATGCTTTATTTAAAGAAACTTTGACTTGGTATTGTAAATTTGTTTGACGGGTTCGTTAGTCGAATAGAACATAGAATTGCTAATAATCGATGAGATGTACGTTCGATTCCGATCGAACCCAATTTGTTTCTAAATATCAATTTTTTTTTCTAAAATCGGTTTAAAACATTTTGCAAAGATTGTACATACTCTGAAATTCCGGCAGAGAGACACGAACATGCTTTCTTAGTTTTTAGTAGTTTACGTAAAATTAAAAAAAAATATTTTAATAGTCTCTTATTGAGAAAACAACTAACAAAATATCAAATACTCCCTGAATTTTTTTTAATGCAATGTTCTTTTTTTTGGTAAAAAGAAGACTCGCATCTTCTCACGTAAAAAGAAGATGTGAAATGAAATTTCACATCTTGAAATTCTTGCAAAACATTTTTTTATACTCGCTTATTTTCTCTGCGAAAACACAACATTTACATATAAACATGAAATATGTCAAATTTGAATAAAACATTTTATGAATTGTAAAAGACTTTGCGGCCATTTTCCTAACTTCGGTTTGCGAGGTATTCGGTGATCGTAATAAAGAAAAGGTTCTCGAAGTTTCGTCATCGCTTAGTCGAGGAACGACCAACATCATGGCATTATACAATGTTTCTTCTAACAAGTATACATCTTTTCAGGGTTCCCTCCAACTATTGAGTCGTTATGCAGCAAGTTGCGCTCTACGGCGCCGCCTCTACAAATGCTCTAAGTACAGAAGCGTAGCAGCCAGGGCTTTTCTATCAACCCACATTTCCTATCACCTTCTGTTAATTTTAGATGAGTAAGTATTTTTTAATTTTATTTATTTGGGTTAAAATTACGACTTATTACAGTTTATGTATTTATAATCACTACAATATTGTATTTTACAAAATGTCTAATGCGAATGTATAACGACATTTGTATTGTCGTTTACTGATCTATGTGGATTGGTACAGGTATATTTTTCTCTTAACTAATGTGACGATTAGATTTTTTATGATAGAGGACAGTCAAGTCAAGTCAACGTTCATTCGATGGAAGTTGATCCTTCACCTTCTTCATGCCCAACTCCACTGGGGATCCCCAGCCACATAAAATCATGACAAGATAGGACATCTTCAAATTTAGGTCAACCTAAATTGGATAATCGGAAATCGACAGACTGATACCGATTAAACTTTACGACTTCTTTTTCTGTGTATGGCGGTTCGTGACCCTGATGGAATTTCGACATTCCAAGCACCCATTTAATTTCCAGTTTTTCCAGTAAACATGTTGGACCCGGTGGGGATTGATCCTCAGACCTGATGAATAGTCATACAATGCTACCATTAGACCAACGAGCCAGTCAAATAATGTTAATGTTGATAAAAAAACTCAAATAATGTTAATGTTGTTTTTTAGTTTGCTTCAAGTGTGTTCTGGCGGTGGTGTGGTCGGGTTTATATACCCTTTGGAGAAAAGTTGCCTCGTTCGTCGGGCAGCAAGAGATACTAATTGGACAGCTGACGTCACAGCACTCACGCGCTGCTTGCAATACTTACATAGGATCACTGGTAAGAAGTAAAAAGCGGGACATTTTTACGTGCAGCTTGGGTGACTTGACAATGAGAAAAACATAGCAATAGGTAAATTCTGTGATTGTAGAATATGTTTAAAAATAAATGGATCCCTATTGAATCCCTTATATATTCATTTGTTTCGGTCTGTTAACGCTGGTAATAATTTCATATTTAATCTATCGCTTTTCTTAACTTTAGCTTCGGGCAACAAAGGATTTCTCCAAGTTTAGGCAAAACCTTTCATTTTGAGAGTGACAGGAGCATTAAAAACGCTTTTAACTGGTTTAAACGCAAAACATATTATTTAACTTATTTTCATTGAATTTAACTACGGCACTACGTTTCGAATGCTTTGCAGTAGTCGTGACCACGGGACAAAAAGTTCTCGTTTTAAACCGTTAAAAATGTTTCAATATGTACTACTCGCGTAAAGTACAGATGGAGTGGCAGTAAGAACTTGTGTAAAATTATTTCATTAAATTTGGTTTAACCTTCATACAAAAATTGTAGTTGATGAAGACATTCCTCCATCACCATCTGAAGCATTGGAGTTATCATTGTTCACACGCTGGGAGAGACTGTCTCACGAATCCAGATGCACTGGAGCCAGCAGTTACACAAAGAGGCAGTTGCGATACCTGAATAGGGTGGTTTGTGAGTTGGTGCGGTGCAAAAGATCTGTGGTATATGTACGTTTTGCTTTTGTATAGTGTGAATTTAGGTGGAAGGTTTTTAAAGTGGCAAATCTGCTCTTTCTTCTACTTAAACGACGTAATTTATGATTAAATTAGTTCTTGCCCACTTTCGTAGTTCAAAGGTCAAATTGGTTGCTTAACAACTCGTTAAACCCGAGATTTTCTGAGTCCGTATCTAGGGAAAAACAATAAATTGGTACGTGTGGGCAGGGCAGAGAATTTTGACTTATTTGTAAACAAAATCGATTATAAGAATGGACTCCATTATGGAATTTTATTATGTTTTCACAATGAAGATATAGTAGTACAGTTATCAGAAAATAACTTGAAAATATGCTAGGCGTTTCTCAAGGACCTATCTTAGAACCCATAATATTTTAAATATTGTTTAGATTTAGTGTCGCGTTTCGCTTGCAGGAAAGCCACAGTACATTTCGGGCTAATCTGATTCAGGCGACGTCCATTCATCTCGAATCTATCGAGGACCTGATACACATAATGGCCATAATTCTGGACCAAGCGAGGGACGCTTACATGAATAATGTTCACAGCAGAACTGTTGGGGAATTCGAAAGGAGTTTGACCACTTATAGGTTTTACTTATCAACTTAATACTTTTATTAAATAAAAAAATCGAGTTTTCCGACCTGGTTAAGCGTTAAAGATTAGTTTTTATTGTGAAACAATATATCTAATATAACCGTTTAAAACGCAAAATATAAGGTGCATACGGTATTATAAAACCCCTAGTGAAGTAATAACACAGTCAAATAAGTTTAAATCGTTTGTTAAATAAAAACTGCTTAGAAAGAGTTATTATAATGTAAATCTATATGATAATAATGCATGGAATTCGGAGAAACCCCCTCTAACAAGAATGAAGATGTACAAATTAACTGCGTAGGAATTGTAACAAAAACTTGTCAATAAAAGGAGTGACGGCGAGTTCCTTGTCAGTTCTTCTTGTTTGTGCTATGTCCTTAATTTAGGAACTGACAGAAGATGTAAATTATTTATTTTGATTATTTTTAAATACTGTCTATAGTTTACGCGAGTAGTACACATTTAAATAAAACACTTTAACGGTTTAAAACGCGATATATTAGTTAAACTAATTTGAAAATGATTTTTAACTTCGGCCCGACGTTTCGGATGCTTTGCAGCAGCCGTGGTCACGGGGAGACTAAAGATGGAGGATGTCTCTGACATCAAAGTAAAGAATTGCTACGCTAGCGCCATCTGTTCCGTCGAAGTTGGTATTTGGCGAAACTGGCCGGGTCCTTACAGAATTGACTAACGGTGTCTTCGCGTTTGCTGGTATGCTGTTTATTGGGATCCAGAGTTTTTAATATGGGATCCCAGGTGTTTGATAGTTTGAGGCCGTCCTCCCTATTGAAATTTCGGTGTTTTTTGATTTCAATTGCTTCGCGTACCAATCTTGGAAAAAATCGACTCTCCTTTGCGAGGATTTTTGGTTGGTCAAAGCGAATGTAGTGATTGGGCCCTTCTGATGAGTGTTGGCATACCGCAGATTTGGAGAGACGTTTATGTTTTATATCCGCGACGTGTTCTTTAATTCTGTTTGAGATGCTACGCTTTGTTTGGCCGATGTAGGATAGGCCACAATCACAATCCAGTCTGTAAACGCCTGCATCTTGTAAAGGGATAGTACACTTGCTTGGTTTCAGGAATTGCTGAATCTTCTTGTGCGGCTTGAAAATTGTGTCAATAGAAGCTCGATTTAGGACTCTGCTAATTCTATCTGTAACTCCCTTCACATATGGTAGGTAGGCGGGCTGACGTTTGACTGTGGGTGGCTTATTCCTGTTCCTGGGATGCTGCGGAGGGACTCTCAGCTTGTTCTTGCATAGGACCTGCTTGACATGCTGTAACTCCTCATTTAAGTGGGCAGCATCACAGAGACGGCGGGCTCTCTGAAACAAAGATACTCCGACAGAACTAAGTTGGCTGGGGTGGTGATGTGAGTCACCGTTCAAATACCTATCTGTGTGGGTTGTTTTTCTAAAGACGGTATGCCCAATATTACCGTGTTCATCACGAATTACTAAAATGTCTAAGAAAGGTAGTGTGTTATTGTCCTCCTGTTCCATTGTAAACTTAATGTTATTATGAATTGAGTTAAGGTGTGTAAGAAATGCAGATACTTGTGCTTTGGGTAAGATGGTGAAGGTATCATCTACGTATCGCTTGTAAAGCTTAGGTTTAACCGGGGAAGAAGCAAGGGCTCTCTCCTCAAAGTCTTCCATAAAAATGTCAGCAACTAAGGGTGAAACTGGAGAACCCATGGCTACCCCATCTACCTGAACATAGAAATCCCCATTCCAAAGTAGGTACCCGGTTGTCAAGCAATGTTCTAAGATATCCGCATATTCTATAGGCATGTTGTGTTTAATAAGTTTGCTCTTAATAATTTTGATACAATCAGCTATAGGTAAGTTTGTAAAGAGTGATGTGATGTCAAAGCTTACCATAACCTCATTGTCCGCTACTCTGGATCCCAATAAACAGCATACCAGCAAACGCGAAGACACCGTTAGTCAATTCTGTAAGGACCCGGCCAGTTTCGCCAAATACCAACTTCGACGGAACAGATGGCGCTAGCGTAGCAATTCTTTACTTTGACGTCAGAGACATCCTCCATCTTTAGTCTCCCCGTGACCACGGCTGCTGCAAAGCATCCGAAACGTCGGGCCGAAGTTAAAAATTATTTTCAAATAAGTTTTAAATTTTCAAGCACAAGAAGATTCAGCAATTCCTGAAACCAAGCAATTACTATCCCTTTACAAGATGCAGGCGTTTACAGACTGGATTGTGATTGTGGCCTATCCTACATCGGCCAAAAAACGTACATCTCAAAAGAATTAAAGAACACGTCGCGGATATAAAAATAAATGTCTCTCCAAATCTGCGGTATGCCAACACTCATCAGAAGGGCCCAATCACTACATTCGCTTTGACCAACCAAAAATCCTCGCAAAGGAGAGTCGATTTTTTCCAAGATTGGTACGCGAAGCAATTGAAATCAAAAAAACCGAAATTTCAATAGGGAGGACGGCCTCAAACTATCAAAACCTGGGATCCCATATTAAAAACTCTGGATCCCAATAAACAGCATACCAGCAAACGCGAAGACACCGTTAGTCAATTCTGTAAGGACCCGGCCAGTTTCGCCAAATACCAACTTCGACGGAACAGATGGCGCTAGCGTAGCAATTCTTTACTTTGACGTCAGAGACATCCTCCATCTTTAGTCTCCCCGTGACCACGGCTGCTGCAAAGCATCCGAAACGTCGGGCCGAAGTTAAAAATTATTTTCAAATAAGTTTAACTAATATATCGCGTTTTAAACCGTTAAAGTGTTTTATTTTGATTATTTTTTTGTATGCATGCATATTGCATGTTTACTATGATTATGTTGGTCTGTAGACTAATTCATAATGTATATTTCAGATCGAAGAAGTGGAATAAGCTAAAGGATTACTACGATGCATCATCGGCCTGTCTGATCGATGCAGTTAGACGAGACAAAGAGCCAAGAGAAGAAGATATTAGCGAGGATGCTGCCCTGATGAGAACTGTTTTGCAGTGGCTTTATAAAGGTGAACAATCCATCCTTATTTTTGCAAAACACTTTAACGATTTTAAATGTGAAATAGTAGTAGAATAGTAATTAGTACACCCTATTTACATTTAAATGACAAAGATTGAACAAACAAAACATCCCTTCATTGCCTTTTAGGTGCCAAAGAAGATAAAAAATATCTAGGGCCAGTTTTGAAGCCATACCTAGATGAGCTCTTCGTGTCGTCATTGGAGAACTCTTGGTTCTTGGAAGACTTTGATGCGACTACAAGTGTTTTAGAAGTCGAGGGTCTAAAGGAGTACTGTGCCGGAGTACACGAAGGGCTGATTGAGCCGAGGAAGGGAATTCTGGATGCCGCAAAGAAGCACGCTTGGGCTAAAGCGATTGTGGATTTCGTAGAGAGACATCGTCTTATTGGTGAGTCTACTTCTAAAGGAATGTTTGTGACAGGGAAAAAAGATGTACACATTTAAATAAAAAACGCTTTTACAACAGGATATACACATATAAGTTTAACTTATTTGAAAATTATTTTTGTTTCGGATGCTTTGCAGCAGCCTTGATCACGAGTATTTTATTTAAATATCTACAAACAACAATTTTCAAAGGATTTATAATAATAAGAGAAAGTTAATGTCAACTTTAATATAATTATGAAAGAAGTGTTAGTGCATAGGAAGGCAATTTTTTATGGCTTACATATACTCGTAGATGTCGATAATTGTTAAAAATGAGCGTCATTTTAAAATAATCAATATTGTATTAACCTACAGACACTATTGTAGTTTACGCGAGCAGTACACATTTGAATAAACAGTTTTATCGGTTTAAAACACGAAATATATTAGGTAAAACTGCAACCTGACGCTGAGGATGCTTTTCGTTACGTTCGTGTTGTTTGTGTGATTATGTTGATTAAAAAATATTGTAATTTCGTAAAATGCGAAATCGTAATTAAATTTATTTAGAAAAAAAAACAACTATAAGGTTTGATCATTAGAGGGTTCGAAGTTCGCCGAGACAATTAGTTTTTTATGTGAGTATTCGTATTAAAGTATGTATGTCTCAAAATTATTTCTTCACGAGTTTCCCATAGACATTTTAAAAGTTCAAAGATCGTTTAAAGGGGAGTCCAAATTATCATAGCTACCTTCGGCTGAAATACTTTTGTTCTGGAGCAGCACTTCAATGAAAGGGAACTTTGACATTTACAAGTTTCGACACAGCGATCCTTGAATTATAGATATGACAAGGAAGTATATTCTGGCAAAATGTTTACTTCAGGTTTTATTTATGTGAACACCCGCTTCCCCCCACGAGGGGTTTTGGATAAACCTTATGTGTCCGTTTGACTGATCGATAAAAAACTTACTTAAATCGCACTTTTGTGGCCTGCGGTTCGGTGAGAGAGATAGAAGTACTTTTCATTTCTAAAATTACAGTAATCAAAGTCAATAAAAACGAGTTCCAACATTAAAATATTTATTAACACTTCAATTTATATGGGATAAAAATATTATTCATAATTATGTATTTTAAAATGTAGCCAAAGAAAAGCTTTAAAGGTTTCAGAAAGAAAGCAACCAGTTTTTGTGTGCCATCATATATTTTTATGTAGGTATTAACTGAAAAACAAATTACTTCGGCAGGTTTCAGAAGGCACAGAGGGTTAACTATACTGATTTACAGGTGGACCCTAGGCTGTTTAATTGTGACGTCTAAAACGTTCAAAATATATTTGTCACTTATATTATCGTTAGAAAAATATAAATTAATCATCGTCCCTTCTAGTAAGCTTACATCGGTGGTTCTTTAGAGGCGAGCTTAGTTTCCAATACTTAAAGACGCTCCCGAAACCCATAAGTCAATTATGTCTTTTAACTTTAAACTTAGTCCGGCGAACCTTTAATTTAATTAAATATGCAGTACTCTTAATGAACTCAACCAAGTTTTTTTTAATGGAAAGGAGAAAAGTTCACTTGAGGGAAGGTGAAATATCTGAGTCGTGATACATCTGGCCGAGATTATCGACCTTTTTTTAGACGTGGTGGTGGTTCGTAACCAAAATGGAATTTTGGTAGTCCTACCATCCATCGCCAAAATATTCGATTTCGTTTGAAAATCTGAATATTAAATGGATGGAAATAATATTGAAATTCTGTACGGGTTACGAACAACGGTCCACAAATGAAAAAGCCGTGAAGTTTAATCGCGCTTCGGTTTCAGTCTGTGAGTTTCAAAATATTGAAAGCCGAAATAGGTCGATAGCGCTTCATAAAGGTCAGATCTTATCAACGGTTCCTAATGAATATATTTTGTTTATGTTACATACCTATTGTACGTTTTAATAATTAATTTTTTATGTAACTCTTGCTGGTACCTAGTGCTGTAGAGATTAATGATGGTAAATATAAAACATTCGAGAAGTCGTCAGAGAGACCAGCAAGTGTTTGTTCTTTGTTTTCGTCGGGCTCTAATCATTTATTTGACAATGGCCTGTCCATTTCCACGCAGCGGGCCCCCGGGAAATCAGAAGTCGGGCGTCAAGGGTCATTGAATCGTTTTCACCCGAGAGGGGAAAGCGAAAAATTATATTAAACTTTCAATGTAATTATTACTATAAGAAACTTCTGCATTTCATTTAAATAAAACACTAACGGTTTAAACTGCGATATAATTAAGTTATTTCGGCAATCTTTGTTCTTATTAATAAAAATTGTAAATTACTTATTTATAAATTTTTTACATCTCTCCATTCACGTTAAAACTCGCCATATTGACATTATGCATGACGTTGCACCACGTCAAACATAATGTCAAATCTTCAGAATTTGCGGGAAACTTAAATCCTCTTACATGTATTTACTGTCCGATCATGTCTGATAAAAGCGTAAGATTATCGAAATCGTTAAAAAAACATATAGTCATTTTATTATCATTAAAATATATAATTAGTAGGCATAATAATTTGCAAAGCATTCGTTGTCTCGCTATTTAAATTAAATTATAAAAAGCTTGGACAACTCTTATGACATGAAGATGAGGTATAAAAACTAGATAGTTCTCAATTTCAAATCGTTAAATATATATAATATATAATAAAAAGTTAAATATACTGTGCATTTTAAACCGTTACATTTGTTTTTATAATTTTTTGATATTCCTTTTTTAAATGTTTTAACTTCTGCGGCGGATTCCGCGTATTTTTAAAACAATATCATACGTTAATAACTTAATATTCCTGCCACCCATACCATAACAAGATTTGCTGACGAAGCCAAACAGGTTTAAAAAAAAATATAAATTGATTAGAGATATTGGAACCGGTGCGGATTGAATGCACGACCTGTAGATTATTAGCCGTGGTATCGTTAGACCAACAAGCCAAAGTATGGTAACTAATATTATTACACGAGAATGTTATATCTTTGATTACTTAACACAGTGTGACGGTAGAATAGTAAACTGTAGCTGTCTAACGACGCAGCTATAACAGATGACTGCACCCGAACTCAAAGCAATATACAAGGCTTATCTTAAAGCCGTTGGAAAATGAAAATAGAAAACTCCATATTTCATATCGCTTAAGTTAAAATTGTTTTGAAACATTATATTTTTTAGTTCACGATAGTCTAATGAAAATTCTACCAGCCAGCGTAATGCTGAGGTATTTAGTACGAGTCATCCAGATCTTATGAAAGCGAAAATGAATTTTAAATACTTAACTTGTATTTTTAAAATTTTATTAGTTTTTACAGGCTTATTGGTCTAATGGTAACAATGTATGCCTAATAATCAATGGATCGTTGATCCAAACCGGGTTGAACATGATACTATCAATTTATATTTTTCTGAAACAGGTTGGACTTCGTCTGTAAATCTGGATAGATTATTATGTATTATAATAATCTTTTTTTTAATTTTATTGAGTGGTGGGTTAATAAAAAGAGGGAGAAACTATTCTTTGAATACTGTCTATAGTTTACGCGAGTAGTACACATTTAAATAAAACACTTTAACGGTTTAAAACGCGATATATTAGTTAAACTTATTTGAAAATTATTTTTAACTTCGGCCCGACGTTTCGGATGCTTTGCAGCAGCCGTGGTCACGGGGAGACCCGTTTAACTAATATATCGCGTTTTAAACCGTTAAAGTGTTTTATTTAAACTATTCTTTGTACAAATATATATTTAGATAGAGGAAAGACAAGGTTTCACTTGATGGTAGGCAAAATACCCCAGCCATATAGCATCTGAACAACGCTTTCTTAGCTCTTCGTTTCCTTTGGATATCCGGATATCCACAAACTAAAACGGAAACGCGACAAAACTACCCGATCCGGACGGAATTTAGATATCCTACCGCAAAGTCCAACGTTTCAGAACAATTTGAAAATTGATTAGAAAAATGTTGGACCCTCACTCGTTCGCTATTGGACCTACATTGCTACTATTATGGTGTAATGGTCAAGCCCGTCTAAGTGTACTGTTACCTGCTGCACTATATTTTTTGTCATTTAAAAAGATCTATGATTACAGATTTCCGCCTAATATTCCCAACAGGCGACGGACTAGCTGTGTCCTATCCTTTGAAGCTTCCTTCTAGAACAGAGCACGCTTCTTCTAGAACGTTAACTTTACACAGAAGAGACAAGGCAGAAGCAAAGTTGAGATTGGCGAAACGGTGTGTCGTAAATGCTTTTAACGACGTGCTTGTGGGAAAACGGTGAGTGACAACGCAGCCATTATTATAAAGGTGAAAAAATGTGTTTGTTTGAACGTGCAACCTCAGAAACGACTGGTCAATGTTCCTGCCCATGCCATGCAAACCGCTTCCTCGGTGGTTAATCGTGTTGCCTAGCATTGAGTTAATCGGGTTTTAATCCGGGAATACAATCAATTCTTTTGGTCGGATAAAAAAGTAGTTTATCTTGAGTTAAGGCGGTAATCTTATAAGTAGACATTTTCTACTGTATTGTTGCCAGGACTATTAAAGAAGATATATATAAGATTTCTGTAAAATTAACTTATACAGACGCATAGCATGTAATGAAACCAAATTAAATAATTTTGATGAACTGGTAGGTCTCTTGGTAGCCATTTATGGTTATTAAACAAACGAACCGCGTGTTTGATTCCCAGTTTATTCCAATAAATTAAAATATTTTTATATAAGTTTACGTAACACATCTCGCGTTTTAAACCGTAGAACTGTTTTATTTACAGTGTGTACTACTCGCGTATACTACAGACTGTATTTGTTCTAACATGTTTAAAAAATGTATATAATTCTTCTTATTACAAGAATTATATACATTTTATGTCATAAACCTTCTTTTTATTTAAATATACGTACCATTAAGTACCCTATGCGTGTCCGTCGTTCTCTCTTATAAACAAAAATATAATACAGGAAGACATTAATTTATTTTATAAGTTATTTGTTGGAGATAACCTTTACGTCCGTCAAACAAAGTTAAGAACGATCTACCAATAAATACGATTTTGTTATACATATGTAGCTAACATGATAGATTAGGTGTCTAAGTTATATTAAGGTGAAATATTTATGTTTTGCTGCTTAACATGGAGGACGACATATATATTTGTAAGGGTATTGTTAATTTAAATACAAAGGTAAATTATTAAAGCTAAATAACCTACTTCCCCCATTAAAACAAAACTGTTTTAAACAACAGTAAACACATCTGCAACGTTAGGTCAAAGTTTAAAAAGTTATATTTATTGTTTTGAAAACTATTCTTGCGCAGTTGGATGAAAATAATAAATAATACAAGAAATGCCTAAATTAGGTTAATTCCGAATAAGACATAAACGAATTTCAAATGATTTCGAATAAAAGTGGAATGTCTATTAAAAATACTTTTCCACTAATAAGCGGAGCGCTCGCCCGACCGTACCAATTTTTACTTTATTCACATCTGCATTAAGTTCATTTTCCTCTAATTCGAGTTTCTTTGTATCGTTATAGAGTAGAGAAACAGCAATTTTCCACACAGGGGAATACGGGAACGGGTAAAAAGAGGACGCTAGTATTGCCAGTTTTAATTTGCTTCGTTTCCAAAATACGGCCAAGGTCCCTCCGCCACTTTTCAGTGTCAAAGCAGACAGCGAACAGTGGCTATTGTGCCATAGTTCATGTTTTTCAATTGCGGCGTTTGAATCGCTTTGGATTTATGGCTTTTAATTTAACTGCAGATAACTAGGTTTCAATCTCCGTCCAACTAAGTTCTGATGAAGGTTCTATTGCCAGCTTATTATGCACTATGTGCTATATTATCACAAATTCGGTCGCCATTATCGGTCGTCGTTAAAACCCGTTCTCTCATTGGGGCAGAATGATGCGACAAGTAGTTATATGTTATCTTAAGAGAGAGGAGACACGTGCTTAGTAAAAGGAATTGGTCAAGGTTACCTATTAAAATGAAAAAAACTTTGATTTATAAAAACAATTCGAAGCTAGATTGAGGGTAATTAACTTAAACTAGAAGTTATATAAATATTTCTCGTTTTAAACAGTTAAAAGTGTTAATATTTCTCTATTTACACTCGGCTTTTAGTCACTACTTACTTTACAAACTACATACGCTACTGAGTTCTAGTGATTTATAACCTCTTAACTGTAGTGTATACTAATATTAAAGTTATTTCTACTATAAAGAAAGAGAAAACGTCCTTCGGAGTCAAAGGCGAATGTTTCTCCACATTTCCCGAACCGAAGAAAAGATTTATCTGAGGGTGTATTAAGACAATCTAGAGAATCCTTTTAGTGCGAACGGGACGTGATAGGCCGTTCCCGATAGGAGAATTCGAGGCACACTCGCGTTCAATTTACGATGCGATTTTATCGTAGTAATCGCCACCTTACCGAGATTTAGTTGGGCCAAATGTGCTGTTATTTTTCCACTTAATGCTTCATTTAACGGAAACTCTAAGAGGAATCAGTTAGCTGAGTAAAGGTTTATAAAGTATTTTTAATATTTTTAAGCTATTATAGCTAATAATGATGAGTTTTTCATGTTTGTGGTACATTACATTTACATTCTTGGATTTAATCACTACTAACGTTACAGGTTTCAATCAAAACGCAAGTCCCACCACGGCAGTACCGACGAGATATTGGCCAGCGTGAAAAACGGAAACTTTTGGAGAACCACCAAACCGGACATTATTCCCTCAACTTCGAATTCCCTAGAACTTCCGAAACTCAGGCGCAAGCAGCGTCCAGCGACGATATATGGCTTTCCCGAGATTTCTATCACCAACCAGTCAGATCTCAAAACAATGAGACGCAAATACCACACGCTGAAGAGCTTGGTCTACTCAGAGCAAGTGGATGTGAAAGAGATGAGACGAAGACCGCGCTCAGCTGGGTCTTCTATGAAGAATAAAGAGCCGTTGAGCAGACCTAGTCTTCTGGAGACTCTCGATTTCATTAATAGCGTCAAAGATGCACTTTGTGGTGGGTACTTAAAAGGTCTATTGTTCCATTTCAGAGTTGACATCTTCTTAGAATATAAATATTTTAACTTAGATTTGTGATAGATAAGTAGGCACAGAAGTAGCGATGATATATTCTTTATTTCTCTTATAGTAGAAGAATCAGGAGCTTCTGACCTGGAGGACAATGGCTGGTGTATAGAAGATGAATGGGTCCTCAATCAAGTAACTCCACTAAATATGATAATAACGAGTGAGAAACGAACATTGCATCTGCTTTTGGCTGATATTGTATTGTGTGCGCTAAGAAGAGGTTGCTTTACGGTCAGTTTACATCACTTTACGGTCATAGTAGAACGCGTTTTCGTATGAGGTCGATTTTTGTGTAAACCCAAGTGTAGTTTATTTAAGACATATTCATAATGAATAATTGTCACAATAACAACTAACTTATGATTGTGATTTTGTTCATGCTTTTGACGTTTTCACGATTTCAGCAGTGCAGGGTAGTGCTTTGAGGACACAATTAATTATAATGTTATCCTATTAAGACAATGAAAATAAAATCCGATTTCGTACGTAAACTACTGAATTAATTATAATTTAAAGTAATTGTTGCAGATGCTACAAGAGTTATGTATATTTCTGGACGAAGCTAGCGAAGGAGCACTGTTCGCATTGCATCGACTATCGAGAGCTGCTAGAGCAAGAAGTAGCGAACGAACTAATAGGTGTGACAAAGTATAAGTAAAATAAACCAAATCCAATATATACGAGGTAAAAAAATTAATCAATTTACTTTTTTGTTATCAAATCTTTAGTACATGGAAGCTGCCAGAGCCTCAGTTCCCGCAGATAAGCCAATATAGAATAAGACCACCTGACTATTTCTCTGGGGATGAAGCGACCCAGCCTCCACCTATACCTAGACGATCTACTTCTAATGAGGTTAGCAGAGTTGTGGTTCTAAGTTATATTTGTCTCCATTGATGAATGTATTTGATATCTTTAAAAGTATAAATCAATTTGTTTTGTGTAGTATTAGCTTCTTTGAATTGTTCCAGATCATCAAACGCTACGACTGTTCACCAAAAGCTACAGATATCACCGCTCCATCACCGACTGGCATCATCAATCCGATATACGACATCAAACTACCAAAGGACAAATTTGTTAAGAGAACTAAATCCCTTAACCGGACGTCTAGTGTCAAAAGTGAAATTAGCGTTACTCTCCGTAGAAATAAAACGAATGATATACAAAATGTAATTGATGTTAGCAATGATAATGGTTTTGATATGAAGAAACACTTCCTACAGAGGTATAATAATAATAATGTGATTGGCGATTCGTATAGAATAAGTAGAATTAACATAGAGTAAAGTAGGTTATCTTCGAGACGGGAAGCGAGGATACAGAATTTCCTAGTAATAAATCGATATAACCTTGGAATTTAAGGAGCTAAAGATTACTTATATTGTTGCCACTATATAGAGAAATCCTGTTAGGACGGATGGGGCATGAGGTGTACACGTGTTAAGGTAGAAATTATTATAAATTTTAATCAGCGAGAGGCGCAAGTATCAATAGGTTGACAAATTCAACGATGACGTGTACGACACGATAGCTCAAAGGGATAGAGCAGCAACGCTGTCGCCAGTTCAAGTCCTGCCCTAAAATTGTGTTAAATGTAAAATATATCTTCAATTTGAATAATGCCCTCATGTGAAAAAAATTAAGCTTTTAAAGGCAAGGAGTTGAGCAAACTGTTGTGCCTTGCCTAACTGACACACTCTATCTCGGGATTCGAAACACCTTATGCGTTTGAATGTTAGGCAACACGTTTAACCATTTACTACACACGCGGTTATTGTTGCAACTATATAATTCTGAATAATTTTATTACCACGTCGAATTTTCTTGAACTAAGAAAGAGAATAATATTAAAGATTAACTTTTTAAACACGTATCGCTATATAGTTTTCTGTTATTCATCAATTCGTATTCTTTTCCTATACTTATATTATAATACTATTTATATTCACTCGGTAGCGTTAAAATCTACTTAATATTTCATTTTATGTACCTATTTGTAAAGATGTACCTGTACGTTAGTAAAAAAAAAAATACTAAATATGTACTTGTTTTTATATGCGTTAAATTACGTGTTCTTTTTTCAATGTATTGACTGCAGTCTTAAAAATAAAAACTATTCTTTATATATATATTTTTTTATGACAGAGAAGGCGGTCTAGTATGTGGTTCCCCGGAGGAAGGTGTATAGCCCCCCAGCCATATAAAATGTGAATAAGATGAGCGGTCGACCTATTTTGGCTTACATTAGTAAATCCACATAAACTGAAATGCGATTAAACTTCACGGCTATGAAAATTGATTGGAAATATGTTGTATACCTGTTGGTGTCATTGAACTAACAAGAAGTCTCTTCGTTTCGTCCCAACCAAGACTGGAATGTTATGTATACATATTATCATTCACAAATATCCATTTTATATTATGGCAGGTAATTCGCGAGGGTATTGTTGAGCAATTTGCCAATACGAAGCAAGGTTAGCCGCACTCGACGCGACACATTGTAAACCAATGCTCGACGTAGTGGAAATTCTTGGACAGACTATCCGGCTCTCCATTATAATCTTTCGACAAGTTGCGAGAATAAAGGGAAGAGAGAGTGTGGTTAATTCAAGTACATCAGTGTAGCAATTGTTTGCTTTAATTGTTGAATATAAATAATATTTCATGCAATATTCTTATTTAATTAAGAATATTATTAAATAATATTATAATAGATTAATAAGATTGAATTATGTACAGAACTCCTCTCTTATTGGAGATTGTTTCAAGAGCCCACACCACGCCATTTCAGTGCGGTTTGGTTGGTCTCGACGACTACCGGCCATAAATGTATGACGATAATTGGGACCGTCCTTATTATTATACGACAGGAATGTATATTATGTAGGTGAACAGTTTATTTATTTATTTAGGTTTAGTTCTTGTTAATATAGTAAAAGAATCTGCCACAACGTTTTGGATATTTTCTGCAAAATCTTAAAGAGCTCTAAGCAGTCCGACTGAGATTTTATTGCTTCCCAGTGATTAAAACCTAGGAACTCTCATGCTTAACGCTAGATGTCGTGTTGAACGCTAAGGAAGTGCATAACTATTGTATATAGATCTACGTTTCAAAATGTATTGTAACGTTTTAGGTGGAGTGCACGTTACATTTTATTAGATTTTAAAGATAAAGACTGGACTGGCTTCTATAAATTGCACAGAGAATTACGGAGACTAAAGTGATTGGGATTCACTCTTTATAAGACGAATTGGATCGTTGTAAACGAACCAGATGCAGCTAGCTCATCGAGGTTTACTGCTTGTGATAACCAGAATAATAGTATGATAAATTGTATCGGTTGGATTGGCTGTTCAAAGTTCCCTATTAATAAAGACGAATATTTGTAAACCTTAACATTTTTCACGTTATTGCACACGATAACATTATATAAATTAAAAACGATTATAAGTTGAAAATAAAAATGACGACTCAAGCAGGACTTGATCCGGCATCGACAGCGTTCCGTGCTGCTGCTCTAATTAGTAGGACTCGGTAGCTCAAATGGTTGTAAATTGAAATGAACATTTTTTTTAATAAATAATCGATTTTTAAGCCGAATATTGTTTGAAGTTTTCATATTAAATAAAACACAAATTAATTTAACCCACTTTAACTTCGTGGTCACGGGGTACTGATGGTAGGTGGTCCTATTGTCAAAGTGAAAACTGCTGTTGTAGTTGGTATTTAGAGAGAGTGGCTAGGCCCTTCCCATCACACAAGTTACCAATATAATTCACGTCTTAACCGTTAAAAGGACACAAGAATGTTTTCTCCCCAAGCCGCATAAGAGACTTTTTCATATTTAACAAATTGGTAGAAATGCCGAACAAAATCAAACCGTGTTTTTCATACCATTTATACATTTTTATTAAAATAAATCACTACTAATATTATAAATGCAAAAGTAACTCTGTTTTTCACGCCGAAAGCACTGGTACGCAGATATTCTACAGTCTGAGAAAGGACATAGTCATATACTTCTTAATGCCAAAAAAGGGAAATAATACATACAAACTTAACCCTTAAGGTTGAAAAGGGAGATGAAGGTTTGTATGGAAATTCGTGATTTTTGAAGCTAGAACTAAATAAAACTTTCTTCTTTAACTTTTTGTGAATGGGAGTGAGAGTGGAAGTAAGAATGGGACTGGGTGTGCTGTGAGGTGGGAGTGGGAGTATTGCGGCAAAGTAGCACTTACAACACAGATTGGCTGCCTTAAATGTGCTTTTGCATTTTTCTGTTTGCAGTGGAATACTGTATTTACACATGTCTTATTAAATTAATTAAAAAAATTAATTAAATAAACAACTTACATAATTGAAAAATTCTACCCAAAGTTACTGTTCCACGTGGACGAAGTCGCGGGCAGAGCTAGTATCCAATATATTTTAAATGTATTAAAGCTTACATACTCAACCAAATTTTATTCCCGCTTTATTTTCGCGCATGAAAAGGTATTTCAAAGGGATTGTTTTCTTGCTATTGTAAGATGGCTCATTGTTGTCTTAGGTTTTGAGAGTTTGTTGTTGAAACAACTCTCTGTTTTCCTTTTGTCTCAATCCTACATCATTGTAAAGCAATAAATGATACGCAGTGAAAATAAGATACGAAAAGGAAAATATTCTATTGAATTAGATGGAATAAACAATTTTCTTCTACAGTTTTATAAATCTATACTAATATATAAAGCTGAAGAGTTTGTTCGACGGTTTGAACGCGTTAATCTCAGGAACTCCCTGTTCAAATTGAAGAATTATTTACATATTTTTGTGCTAGTTAGAACATTTATCGAGGAATTAGAGCATTTACAAGCAACAGCGAGAAATGTAATCATGATTGGGTTTCCGAGGAGTACGCTGCTAAAACTGTTCTAGATACCCAAAAAATATGTATCAAGGAATGATTCCTCTTTCAATGATCTAAAACAATATCCCTGATTCTCTTTTAAGATTAACTTGCAAGAAGCGACCGAAGTCATGGGTAAAAACGAATTTGCTTGCCCAAAATAACGATTCTCGCGGACGAAGTCGCTGACATAGCTAGTTCATAATAAAAGTAACGAATAACAAACATCTTTTAAATAACTTAGGAATATGCATACAAGTATTTCATTTACTTACATTGTATAAAACCAACATATATTAATAGAAAACTTATTTTTATTGAGGAGGACAGACAACCTGGCGTGAAAGCACTTCATGGAAGGGACCCACCCCCCAGCCATATAACATCTCAACAAGAGGCGCTGTCAAGGATTTCTCTTAAACCTTTTTTTATTTTGATTAAAATTAAATTCTCTCTTCCCATTTAATTCCACGAAGGAAATTCAACATACTACAGAAAACTTTTATTAGATTAGAAACATCTTGGATCCCACGACCTGTTGATTACTAGCCATAATATATTGCTACCATTAGACCAACGACAATTGAAAAATCCCCAAAATAAATTGTTCACCTACATAATTTTACGTCACCTATCTGAAACACATTAAACACTTCTACTATGTACGTGTGACTGTCTGTCTTCTCGAAACTACGGGTCGCTGGGCTAATCTCCTGTATCCAACAGCTGTTGTTTCTCACTTGGCGGCGATTACAGTCAGTAGCCCAACCGTGTGACATCATCAATGAAACAATTTGGAAGATGAATAAAAACGTGATTTTAACGGAAACTAATAGTTGGCGATCACCCAGGGGTTTCCTTGGAAAGGGGCCACCTTCAAAACACCTACTTCCCAATAATCAAAATTAGTTTAAGAATGACAAACATAAAAGCATATATCCGAATTGAACTGTCAGAAAAGTCAAGTGAATTAAAGGATTCAGAATCACGTGGTAGAGTAGTAGAAGATCTACATGCTAGTTAACTAAAGTACTAGAAAGATTAGAGATAGAGAATTTCTAAATGAAACTCTAAATGTTTTTGAAATTGAAAAAAATATTTGAAAACGTGTATCAAAATATTCACATTTTACAATTTAAAATGAAATTGTAACATAAACCTAATTACAGTTCGTCATTGACCTGAAAGAGCTGGAAAATTTTGAAAACATTTTTATGAATTTCAACATTCGTGAACTATTCGCATCTTTTAAATTCGAACGTGCTTAGACAACAAATGGAGATTATCTGCACTATTCGTGATTCTCGCTCCCTCTTCCTTTTTGTAAAACCCATCAGTCTGTCCCTCTCTTATTTCCCAGTTAGCGCCTGCGCGCAACAGCCTTTCCCGAAAGATCAGTCGGAGACGAGTAGGGTGCAAAATTTCGGCGAAGTTTCGATTTCAAATGGAGTATAAATGGACATTTTAGAATTTCTCTTTTGAACTGTTTAATTTTTGTTTGTTGTTAAATTTATCGCGCCGAGCGATTCCTATTCATGACACCGGCGAGGTGCGAATAAACATTTTTATTAAGACGGCAGACGATTTATCTAATTTAAAATAATAGTTACGCAAGAGGGGAGGCACACTCTACGAAGCTTCGAGTTGCAGACGGTCGGGAGTCAGCCACCGTAGCCCACGGGATAACCAGGCTTCTCGCGTTTCCATAAAAAATATAAATCACTTTTATAACTTAATAATTGCGAGAGTAAATTATTAAAAATGTTCCCGCGCAGAATATCATGTCATAATTTAAATTTCGAACTAGTTTTTAAATATACCGCCGGTACGAAATGTGAGTGATTTTAATATTATCTGTGGTTGAAAAAAATAGGATTTGTTAAACTTGAATGGATCGGATAAGGTACGTATGAATATCTATAAATAATTAAAGGAATTATTTATTTAAAGCATATTTAGTCTATTAAATCGCAACACGTAATATATCTCCAACTCATCCTATATGACCTCTTTGACAACCTTGAAGATATTGTTTGAAGATAATATTAAGTCATACTATTCAATTATTCTGAATTGTGTTCAAATAATATACATTTTAAATTCATATTAAGAAATAACTAAACAAACGAAGAATAATTTAAGAAATAAAATTTAGTATCACAATTATTGCGATAAATAATGCAATAGTATTGTTATTATATCACACATATAATGAAAGGGACAGTCGTAGAATACCTTGATAAGCTTAGTTACTTTTTAATTCAGTTTTACTTATGAATCCCCTTGTAGCTAAGATTTCGTAGAAGGATACGAAATGTAATTAAAATCACGTAGCACTGCTACGCTGGGCCTACGAGCCGTAGCGGTTTTCGTTAATAATTGAGTGTTCATGAAACGGCACAGATTAAACGGAGATTCCCTGTTTGTGTATCTTCAATTAACATGTGATGTTTAATTTGTACTGCTGTTTGTGACAGAAGCATAAGTATCACTACATAAAAATAAGTCACTTCTTCTGTCCCAATGTACGCTTAAATTTTTGAAATTACCCAATGGATTCTGATGTGTTTTTTTAAAGATGTGATTCAAGAGAAGGGTTTTATATACCAAGTTCATAGTTTTTCTGTAGTGTATCAGTATTGCATCCGAGGAAAGCCGGGACAGGTCGATAATAATGGAATTTTTTTACTTGAGTTATTTATATTTTCGTAGTCTAAAAATCATAATCTTCTGAATCATGACAAATTCATTTTCGCCCAAGTTAATTGCACATTTTTATTTCCTTCCTATTGAAAATCATGTTTTTTGTTATTACGCCACTCTGCCTCTAGCAGCTTCATATACGAGTATGATTTGATAGATAACGGCTTATTTGTCTTGTCATAGTTTAAGAAAAACGTGTCTGTGATTTCAAGAGTTTGAAATGATAGGTGTAAGTTAAAATTTGTTAGTTTTATGATAAAAAGTTGTTTTATAATAAAACAATTATAAAACCCAAAACCTACAATGTTTTTTAACAAAAATATATGAAGTTACATGTCAGCAACGTTTAAAGCTATATTTGCTAAGATAAGAAAACAAGAATATCTTAATTTTTTTTCATATTTAGGTTACAACGAGTTTTCGTATAAATCTTTTTTTTTTCTAAAATTTACGAAGCTTCGGGTGAACATTGTTCAAAGATTCTCACCTAAAATTACGTTACAAATTGCACTACCAATGTAGTTAAATATCTAACGAGTTACGCAGGTTGTTTTAATTGGATGTTAGCACAAACGGGTCCGTTTCAGAACGAAATCATCGCTGGAAGTCGACGCAAACATGTGCTGTCGCGCGTACCTGCCTGAATATTTAATGAGCGAGGGTTGCTAAATAATTTGTTGACATGCTCACTCTTTGAACGGACGCCGGGGGAAATGTGTCAATGACCGTGGACTAGGCTTAGATGGTAGGGTTGCGTACGACAATATTTACAAGATAATATTTTTATTAGGTATTTATCTTCAATATTCCGTGAAAATATGTACCTTTTTATAAATAATATTAATCACTCGACATGTATGCGTGATAAGAGCTTACGATCAAGTCGGTATGCGCAAACGCCTCAACCAGCAACGGTGGATGACGCCGCTTCCCCACGTATCATATTCATAAATTTTTGGAAGTTCAAATCTGTTCAAACTGCAACATAGTTTTGTGTATTATTTATACAATAATATTAACTCACTCGGCTAAGCTATAAACGATAAGCAATAAATACAAACGAGAAACTTACTGTACTAAGTAATGAACTTTTACTTGTTGTGTGTGAAAATAGTTAATTTAAAAGACTTAATTGAATTGAGTTATGCAATTTAACATACATTTTAATTATTCAAGTATTATTATTATTTTTCATCGAATATTCAAATTAAAATAATTATTTGTTTTTGAGTCGGTTAAGACGGCGACAGCCCTACATATAAAGCGCAATAAGGGAAGCGTGTGTTGTTTGTTCAGCAAAAGCATTATGAGAACTTATTATAACATAATTACAAGTACATTTGCTCATTTAGTTTAAGCAAGCTTATAGCAATAATATATAAGTTGTAATTGGTGTTTTACTAAGGTAAAAAATATATAAAGAATTCCAGTCTTTTATATCAATTTTTGCTACAAAGATTTTCGTTAAATAATAATTATTTTTTAAATAACTAAACTTAACTAAAATTAGGTTATTATTTATATATAATATAGGTACCTATATTATATTATATAGGTAATATCTATTAATTTTACTATTCATATCACTGCTAGAAACGGGTCACCTGTACAGTGCGTATGAACTTAAAGCTGATCAAGAGGTTTGCTCACGAATACCTGGACTGAATGGGAAATGATAACCTGGTCGGAAAAGTTGACGTGCTTTCTAAGGAACGGAAATAACACATTTAAATTTCTAATAAACGTTTACAAATACCACAAGAACTCGTTAGTTTTTTACTCACTAGTGAACTGTAATATAAGTAAGTCCTCATTTCATTTAAAACGCGTTCTTTGCCTCCTTAAGTTTTATAATCTCAAACGTTATCAAAATGTATATTTAATACATTGAACCGTCCACATTTTGTCAAAGCTTCAATAAAAGCAATTAGATCACAAAGCGTTTGTACAAACTGCATCGGAAGTGGTTAGCCATCGATCAACACTGCACTTCCGGTGAATATTGGAATCTCTAGTTCAGAATCAGCCGGTAGAAGTGAAACAATACTAACATTGTGCATTTTAGATTAAGTTTTCAGGGAATCGGTTTGTAAGAAAGTTATCATTATAGAAGTAAAATCATGCATGTATGTGTAAAAATACAAAATTTATTTATTTTCCTATCATACATAATTATTTTTATAATAGAGGACAGACGAGCATAATGGTTCACTTGATACAAGGTAAAATACATCAGCCATATGACATCACAGAAGATGCGCCATCGACCTATTTTTGGCCTTGAATATATTGGCCTATTTTGGCCGAATTTTTATCTCGATTACGAATTTTCAATCCCATTGTATTTTGACTTGAGTTTAACATTGTTTAACCTAACATACCTAGTATAAAAATGCACAATGCTGCTAAAGACATTTGCACATGAAAAATCATGTTTGTCATTTCCTATGAGCACGTTTTGCACTGTACATGCTAGATTAACATATTCAAAACGCATTAAGTATGCATAAAACCCATATAAATCAAACGCCAACACGTTTTAAAAGTGAGTTTATCTCGTCACAGGCCGGACAGCGCTGACAGCGCTAATAAATCAAGCAACGGATCTATATCAAGCGCTACACAGAACAATATTGATTGCGAATCATTTATCTTTGGGCTGTTTGCGCTTTTTATTTTAATTTTCCCATCAACAGGAGAAAGGGGTATCAGATTCTGCTGTGTCCATTCATGTACTGAGAGAAATTGGTCAGTCTTAAGAGAGACATTTTATTGTGAACGATATAATTGTGTGAAAACTTTAATAGTTTTCGATATTTTATTAAACATGATGGCATTAAATTATTTAAACATTTATATAGATAGAAAACAATTACGACAATTGAACTATCTTTACAATTGTTTAGAGCAAGAGATTTTAATAGATATAACTGTCACAATTTTTTTTAGATATATGTATTTTACAGTAGACACGTACACAATTAGTAATAATGATTGCAGAGATTCATTTTCATTAATAATTACCAAATTCTTTTTACTAGCATATATAAAATAGTCTAGGGCAGTGGACGTAATATATTGTTCTCGTATGTTAGAAAAAGTTTAATATGAAACTTAAAAAAATTCAAGCAAAAGATGAAACAAAAACACAAACACGTATTCAAAATATTATAAAGACTTTAATTAGAAAACGAGCGCAGTCTCTTTTTTAAGGTAAATTGCTCCAACGTCCAAGAATTGTGCAAAGGCTTTTCAAGTACTCCGCTGTTTTTCTCACAATCTCAAACTGGATAAACTTTTAAAAGCTTGCAAAACGTGACCTCCTTTCGTCTTTAATGAGATTAGAAACTTTGTAAACTCCTTTTACTTTAAATGCCTCGTTGGTAAAGTGGTTAGGGTACTGCAAATACGGTCTCGGGTTTAAACCTCTGGCCTAATATCATAATATAATCTAAGATAATATTTTGTACTTTGCTCGCCTGTAATTTGAAAGTAGAAGAAGAAGGAGTTTTGTCATCCTCATACTTCGGAGAGTATGTTAATTCGTCAGTCCTGGTCATCATTCCTAATTTAACGGCGGTAGCCCATCAATACGCACTGGAGTAGCGATGTGGGTCAAGGTTCTAAAGCTTTATCTCTCTTGTAAAAAGAGAGATAAAACAATCTGTATCTAATAGATATGTGTCATTTTAGTACATTGACATGTATCTCATTTGTCCACAGGTTTACTTCGATGGCTTAAACCCTCACACTATGCGCTCTTGCTGACGTCAAAATGACTAATGTCAAATTAAAACTGATCTTCTATCTATTGAACGCTCTCTTATGCGTCGACCTGGTTCATTCTCGACCTTTTCCTAATGTTACGGACTTCATAAACAATAATAGTACGTTCACTATACCAGTCGATTCAAACGCTGATACACTTATCGTGGCCGAAGATGATCCCGCTGATGAAACACCTGAAGAGACGAATAAAAGCTCCAATATCGAGATGGAAGCCATTGTCAACGCAGAGCAAGATAGAGATGAAGCTCTATCCGAGAAGGTGATAAAGGATCAAGTTAGCATTCTAGAAATGACAAAAAACGAAGCAGAAGCGTTCGAGAAACAATTAAATTCATCGAGTGCTTTGCTCGAATCTATGATCGATTCGGAATCGGATAGAGAGGAGACTCTAACAGACATTTTATTTAGACCAGAATCTGAATTCGTAGAAGCACCAAGATTCGAATTCTTGGTTGCCAGGCTCAACGACAGTGAGGGTAACCGAACTATGTACAGTGATAATTTAGATAGAGATAGGAACACGAGTGATGTGCTAAGAAAGGTTGACTATGTGGAGTTAGTAGAAGTGCCCAGGCCAAAGCTAAGTGAGAATAGAAGTGCTTATACGGTTGTAAATATCACTGGACACGAAGTGGATAACGACCTCGCGCCAGACACGAGTGAGTACATATTATTTTTATTTGACCTTTCAAAGTATGAAGCTGTTCTACATAAAGTTATATAATAGTTATCATTTTTTTATATAAGATAAGGATAAACAAACATGGAATACACTTGATGGAAGGTGAAATACTTTCACATATCATCTGTGGAGCTTTTTTTTTGGTCCTTATGCTAGGTCCGGTGGAGATCGAACCCGCGACCCGTTGGTAATTAGCAATACATTGCTACCATAAAACCGTTCTTTAACGAGCCAGTCAATCGCCCTAATAGCAGTAGAAGAAGAACAAGAGTAGGTGTAGCCTTCTCCAAAACTTATAAATAAGGTTTGTGTATTTATTACTTAAAGATCCCATACACAGCTTGCAAATTGAATGAACATTTATAACACATTACAATCGCCATTTTTACTTTTCTTAACGTAAAAATGTGCGAAATTAATTACCAAAATTCTAACAATTAAATTTTAAATAGTTTTTGTTGTCATTTTATTTATTATATAGATTAAAAATAATTAAGGAATAAGTTGAAAGTTAGCATATTTAACTTAGTAATTTTGAAGGTAACAATCCGTTCCCTACAAAGAAAGTACATTATGTAATATAATTTGTATGCTTATTGTTCCGTGTAACATAGGAACATTTTGTTTCACAAAACACTACAAAATGTTTTGAACTTCCAGTTCCGCAGTTGTTTTTATAGAGTGTATAGTTGTTATAAAAAGTCTTTGTTTCCTATTCGAGCTGACCTCGTAAAATTTTGCAGTCGCGAATAATTATAGGTCGGGATTTTCGTGGCTCGTTTGTTTCACTCGAGCTCCTACATTGACACTTCAATTAGAGCGAAATTGCCCATAATTCGAGGTTCATTTACGATCATTTGTGATTGATAGGCTCATATGTGCTTCTACTAATGGCTAGTGATAAGAATTGTATTTTAGATAACGAATGCATCGTTATAACTTTATATCTTCGTTCGTTCGTTCTTTGTATCAAAGTCTTACAACGTATTAAATAGTAAGCCACTAAATAAAAGGTGAAGCTTTGGTCTTATCACTTAACTTTTACTGAGACATAAACATAAAAATATGAACGTATAAACATATGAATTTACGTTAAAAATAATTCACCAAGGACATAATAGCCAAGCATATACAAGGAGCAAAGGATTGTGGGTAGGAAAGTGCATATGCCATAATTTTCAATCGCATACAATGCCCTGGCATATGACCTGTCGCAGTTCTGTCAATGTTCTCAGGTTTCACCGACGTGCAGACTCTCTTTCTGGCCTGCTTCGGGACCTTGCTGCCGCTGCTGGCTGTTCTCTTCGCGACTCTTCTTGTTAGGTAAGTGGTCAAGTCGAATACGAAATCGTGTATATATTTATGGACGTGAATATATTTCAAAGATAATTTAAACGTGGAACGAGCTGTTAAAGTTTTGAAGTGTCAAGATTCTTGGCGCTACTAACTTTATAACCATTATTTTAGGAAAAGTCTTTAGAGAACTGAAAATATGAATACTGTCTGTACGCTTACTCGTGTAGTACGCATTTAAATAAAACACTTAAACGGTCCAAAACGCGATATATATTAGTTAAACGGTTAAAGTGATATAATTTATATAAAATGTTTTATTACGAGCCGCAGTGTGGAGTTTTAACTCTATATTTAGGTATTTATATTTAGTCACAAGAAACCGTTTCCTTATTAATACAGCAAAATAATAACTAAATAGAAAATATTTTTCAAAATATGTAAAAATTCTATATTTAAAGTTTAAACTTCAACTTAATTTATTGGATTTTTTAAAACAACGAGGCCTATGATAACCCCCTCACAACCTCGAAAACAAAACTATTTAGTATAGTGGATGAGTGATAAGGGTACAAAAATGTGTCTCTCCTATGCCCCGAATAGGAGACGCGGGCTTAAATAAATATATAGTTAATATAACACTGCTAAATAAAGTAATTAAGCAAACAAACACTAGATAAAAATAAATGTTATTGTCTGTATGAAAAGCATTACAATAATTGTCATTTTCAAAACAGCACTTTATTTTAGGGTTGCCTGTATCGCACCTTTTTTATAGCTTTTCTAAACAAAACTTTTTTTTACCAATTCATCCAATGGGTCTTAAGATTAATTTTCACGTAACTAAATTAAATTAAATTTATAATACGTTTTTAATACAAAGACTTAAATTCATGTTTGTTAACACCGGTGTAAACAACTGAATCTAATTAATAAGCTCTACTTTAAAAAAATTGCAAATGATATGACATTTACGTCATTTTTAATTGCTCCAATAAAACGTGAATCTACCCTCGCTTGACAGTAAAGCACTTCTGAATGTCGCTAAATATTGCACGGTGCAACTATTTAATGAATGCTTTGTGTAGTCTTATAATTACTTGCGTGCGGCAACCCTAGCGTTCAACTGCACATACAATGAAGCTTGACTTAACGTTATCTTCCCAACATTGAAACGTTGAATTGTCGGGAAATAAATGCAGAAATACCACTGTTTTCCACTCGCGCTATTATTGGACCGAGAGAATTTTAATGCTTACATTTTCATAGCACGTCTGTTTATTCTATTCTATCGCCTTTGCAGCTTAATGACTCAACGTTTTGCTTAAGACGTGAGATCACGGGTTTGAATCCCATGTGAAGTCACAAATTGTATCGGTCAGGCAAGGGAAGGAAGTATGATCAAGATGAGAGGTGCATGTATCAATAAGTTGAAAAAATTCGACTATGAAGTGTAGGACTCGCTAGCTCAATTGGTAAAGCAACAGCACGGAACGGTGACGATGCCAGTTCAAGTCCTACCCGAGTGGAATTTTTTTTCAATTTATATTGGATTTTTAAATTGTATAGTGCTTTTATGTGCAATACCATGTAAAAATTAATAAAGTTTTCAAACGTTATTTTCGATTTTTAAAAGTTTAATATATTTCGCGTTTAAGCCGTTAAAAGTGTTATATTTACAAAATCAATCACTGAAACGGATACGTAAATATGTTCGCCCTATACTCACTGAGGAAATCGAATATTAGATTCTCTTTCTTAGTCTAAATGAGTTAGTTAAACTTTATATGTGGTGGTTATAATAAAACCTCATAAGAAAAAGGAAAGCGAAAATTATCGGAAATAAATCAATAATAATCGATGTCCGGGCATCGGAGCTTTCACCTTTACGCCCGGGCCGGACCTTAATAACCGGGTTATTGAATTGGTCGCGCTCCCAACAAGTAATGTGGTGCGAAATTAATTTCATTCCGGCGAAACGGTCGCTTTGCTCAAAGATAAGATTTCAATGTGAACGTTATTGAGCTAGAGTGAATTTGAACATAAGCGCACGCGCAATTGAATGTATACTAGCAGTTCAACTACTTACTATAAAAAATTAATTCCAATTGCAAAAGGGTCTTTAAGATTGGATCCTCTTTCTAAGTTGTTACTCGTAACGGCTTAACCCTTTTCGATAAGGTTCACAGACTGATGTTATAAGAAACCATAAAATATTATCTAAGTTAATAGTTCAAAAAAGGCCAAGTATGTGTTGGCTTCGCGAATAACCCCACAAAACAATGACAAGGAAAACAGTTACACATATATCGTATTGTAACCATTTTAGTAAATAATAATTTTAAAAGTATGCACATTACAAGCACTTGCTGTATTTAACTGGAAAGATTCAATATGATATTAATTAAAAATAGGAAAAACATGTTATGTAAAAACTTAGTTTATTTTGTTTCATGTTAAGGAGACGACAGAAATTCTAGTGGTAAAAAGTGTTGGTTGTAGTTTACGCCTGTAATACACATTCCAATTAAACACTTTTAACGGTTTAAAAGGATTAATATATTAGTTTACTTATTTTTAATTTATTGTAATTACGTATGCTTTACAACAACCATGATCATGCGCGTTTAACACCGTTTAAAGTGTTTTACTTAACTTAAATTTAAAATATAGCTTATTCATAGACACACAGGAAAGTATTATGAGAATTTGTCGTCAATTGAGGATATCAGCTTTTGGTAATATTCCAAAAACTTGGGCGATTACAGGGTAGACAGCGTTGTAAACTGGTAAACGCGTGTTGTCTTTTCATCAAATATTAATTAATACCGTTGTTTCGACCCTCGTCGGATAGCCGGACGTCGGCAATTAATTATTATCCGGGTATTGAGTAAAAATCAGGGGAAAATCTTTGATATATGATATCCTTTAACGGCAACATTGCAACTGCCTCTTTGATTGATGGTTTGTGCATTTACTGCAAATTTCGAGGTTCTGAATTCAAACATTACTTTGTTAGTATTTCCACCCTGTGTTCCAAAGAGCACGTTCAACCGTCTGAGCCGGTTATCACCACCAATGTGGCGTCGTTAAAGTCGTTAAAGCCCACCAACCCGCATTGCTCCAGCGTGGATGGTCAAAGCTCTTAAACTCTTTTTCCTACGGTAGAGTAGAACTACAGATTATATGATGTATTGGACTGTAGTTTTGTTTGTAAAAGGGTGTTGTTGTTTAAAAAATATCACTCTCCAACAAATGAACTCTATGCTAGTATGTTTTTCTTGATCATAAAAATGGGTTGTAGGAACATACGACGTAGAGACATATGTGTTGGTACTAGGAAGGGGAAAATTGAAATAGATGAAACCTTTTATCAGGAAAGTATTGCGCGTTTTAAACCGTTTAAAGTATCAGGAAAGATCACATGTTGTGGCGAAAAACTTTAAATATTTTCTCATGTTGAACATGAAAGCTTTGAACAAATTTAAAATCTATTTTAGCTTGAAGTTCTCTAGTCTAGGGCATAGATCAAGGGATTAAATACGACATCTGCATCGTAGTGCTTTTAGTAGAATAGCACAGATGGCTGTAGTCGATGGGTTCGAATCACGCCGTTAAAATGTTTGTTTAAATCTGCATATCTTTTGTTAATTGAAAGCATTGCCGATACTTCTCCTCTCTTATCATGCAAGCCATCAATTATCAACAAGGGCATCGTTCGGCACAATATTTAGATCGCGATCTCGTGAAAAAGCCGTGTAACAGCGGTTTTAATCCGTTCCTGGCGACGGGCCAAGAGCAGTCGAGCGGATGATGTGATCAATTCCGCTGTTCGAGCGAATTTACAACTGGATCGCTTGATCTATGATAGAGTTGGCATAGATGCTTAACAACTTGGAATACTTCTCTTCTTTATTGTGGGTACTATTATCGAAAGACTGGCAGGCTTTTGACTATGATCTCACATAAATATAAGAGACAATGTGGTCTGTTCATGTGGTATATTTATATATTTACAAATCCAAAATTGGTTGTTATTGCGTCTTACTCATGATGTGGTGGTGGCTTCATACTTATTACTTGAATTAAATATATCTAATACTTTAAATTCCAGATGCATGTGCCGGCGATGGTGTCCGAGATGTGCCAAGAAACCGGTTAACTCCTCTGCCTCCGTCAGCAGTGATAAGCCAGACAGCAATGAGCAGGTACATTTGTCATTCTTTGTCAACAACTTGTTGTACTAACTAAGTTACTGGATGTATAGACGTGATGTAAACCGACCGAATTATTGGGAGATTGCAGCAACCGAGGTCACGGGGAACTAAAGATGGAACGTGTCCCTAATGTCAAAGTCAAATCTGCTACGTATCTGGACGTAGTTAAAATGTATTATTAAATTACTAATACATTTAGCATTTTAAAACATTAAAAGTGTTCTATTAAAATGTGCACTCTTTTGGTTGATTTGATAGTAATTTCCAAGTCTCCATAATCGTAAATATAATTATATTTACGATTATGGGATTATATGTCGGAGATAGCGATGTCTGAGCGGTAGCACCTTCACCATCTTGATTCGGTGGTACAAGGTTCATTCCGCAGGTAGTGTAGAATAATAATGTACACGTGGATATAACCTCACTTTATTTGCAATTATTAGAATTCCGATTAAATAAAATCATAAAGTGGTAAACCGACAGTTTCTTTTTCGAGGTGTGAACTGTACCACGTCCGCAAAACCAACTCTCTAATACGACTCTGTCCACGTGCCGCCATTACAATAACAACTGACGTCACGCTGTTTACCCTTCCCTCAGTACTACAATAGTCAAATTCAGCAATTTAATATTTAGCGATATCGTTTTCCACGACATATATACATTCCGTAATGAATTCATTTATTACCGTGAGCCCAACACGCCGTTTGCGAATTAATATTTGGGCATCCGAAGCACCTTGTCCCCTGACATTAATAAATCTAAGTGCTCTCACTCCGAAATATCTCTGAATAATGTACGACTGTTTTATGTATCTCGTATGCCCTATTCGTACATACTCCCTTAAGTAAGACCCATAAATAACATAAAAAACATTTTTTATAACAATAATAACTATTTAAATGACAATCTCATAAAAATGAAATAGAATAGCTTCGAAATACGTTTATTCGGTATACTAAACAATATTAAGAATAAGTTGATAAAAGTTTTATATATATAATAAATAAGGTTATGAAAAGGAAGAAACTCAGCTACCTAGCGACCATATTCTGGGGGCCCTTCAGAGACCGAGTTAGCGCAAGTGAGGTTGTTTGACATAAACAGTTAAATCCGTTACATAGGACTATTTTTTTATGATAGACGTCAAAAGAACTTAACTTAACTTCAAGGGATTCACCATCTGTGGGCAGTGGTTTAGTTATAGATAGATTAAAAATATGTTGGAACCAGTAGGTAGTACAGACCCGCGACCCATTGAGTATTAGCCACACACTGCTATAGAATTTCAGTTAGTATATATTGTGATTTTCTAAAATAAAAATAACATACAGTTGTTCTAAGTGGGAAGATGGGGCCCTATAGCTAAAAAATAATATTCGATACATTCTGATAATACAAAGCACCTTTCGAATATTTTAAAGGTTTATAACGAGACTTATATTACTTAACTTATTTGAAATTTATTTTAACTATGATGGTTCGAATGCTTTGCAGCACCGTGCTGTTAAGATTATTTTATTAATATGTACTACACCGCTCTACAGATAATAAACACTTTTTATTCAACATTAAAAAAGATAACAATGCATGGGTATGTTGAATTACTACACAATTATGTTTATTTCAAAAACATACTCCTACAGAAATAAAATAGCAAATGACCAATATTGTTGCAATTAGTTTTTTCACAGGCTTTTTTAATTGTGGTTTTCTTCGTGACGATCGTGAAAACAATTTTACCATTATAACAACACTTTAATGTAATTTACTTTTACTTTACTTAAAAGTTAATATTATTTTAGTTTAATTTTTAAACAATAATTAGTGAAGGCAAAAAAAAACACAGCTTTCCCTTTTTGCCAGAAACGTAATAGAATTCTAGAAAAATTTTCTGTGAAAAGTATTACGAAATTCTTAAGAAGAAATTTTTCAAAGATGCATTTGTAAAGAGCTTGCAGAAAAGTTAAATGGCGTGAAATTGAAAGCTCCGTTACTAAAGGATTCAAAGCTTCGCTATATCTAACTGAATTACCGTCTGATTAGAATAGATACGGTTCGATTTAACTCAGTTTTTCCAGGAACGAAAGACCTTTAAGAAATCCGTTTTCATGAAAATTTCCATTTAGTATAGTTTTATCGAATAGCAGCACTTAGTAGTTTAATAAATGATGGTTTAAAACGCGTAATATTTTAGTTAATTCATTTTAACTAGGGCCGGACTTTTTGAATACATCAGTCATGGCTACTGCTTAAAAGTGTTTTATTTAAAAATGTCCATTGTTTTGTACAGTGAGCTCTAAATTAGCAGACCTGGAGGTTAGTTGCTTCATGGTTGCCTTCAAGAGTCCAGAGTTCGAATCCTAAAATATATAAAAACTAAAATGACTACGCTATATGTAAACCATAGTTATTTCGGTTTCTTATAGTTAAAGGTAGTCTTTTAGTTAGGTTAGTAGTAAGTTGACTAACACTGATATAACGGACTTCAATCTTCAGTCTCCCCATGACCACACCTCCTAGAAAGAGCCCGACGCGTCCGGGCCGTACTTAAATGAAATGAAAAATAAATTATTTTGTGTTTAAAGCGGTAAAGTCTAAATTTAAATATAGTAATTAATTAAATTTTCACCAATATTTGGTGGTAAAAAAAACAACTACATTTAAAGGGCTACCTACAGACGTAAAAATAATATAAAATGTAGATAAAAAAAGACCAATAAACAAACTTCTTATAATTACCGAAGCTAAGATTATAAATTGATAAAACAATACCTAATACTGAGAAAGCATTGCATCTTTCATTGCCCAAACTGCATTTTTGCAAGCTCTTTAGACAATATATCTATCTCGCTTTTGAGAGTGCGTGCGAGAGGGAGGGAAGAGTGCGCTTGACCTATGCGAACGACCGATTTTGGCGGTTCGTTCGATGTGTGTGTAAACCTACTTACGGTGGGCACAATAGGTTGTGTATGTAATGTAAAAACTTTTTTTTTACACATTTGTGTGAGAGGTTGATGTGTCAATAGGTTGAAAAAAATTCGACGATGACGTGCAGGGTACAGTTGTTCAATTGGTTAGAGCAATACGTCATGTCCCGCTCGTGTAGTAATTTTTTTTGCAATCTTAAATCGATTTTTAATTTTTTAATGTCATCATATGCAATTACATGTGATAATGTTAATGTTTTCAAATATATAAAAAAAGAGCTTTGCTCAACTTAGCTTAATTGAACTATTATATTATTTATAAAAAAAATCTAGACGTTACGCGCAATAACTTCTATAGGAAGTTAGCACTTAGAAAACTAGACCATTTTTAACTTTATCGCGAAACCTCTGCGGTTTTGCAGCTGTGACAGAGTAAGAACTTTTAGATGTGACGTTTGTGAACAATTGATTAATTGATCATCAAAATACCGATTTTGGCACTGAAATAACAAATATTATCGTGGTCTCTACAATATATCTGTGGTCGAAATTTATATTTCGACCAATATAAATTTCGTACCAAATTGAGTACAGTTTAATTAAATTTCTATGAATTTCACCACGAAATGTATTTGAGTAAGCTACACTAAAATTGCAAAGTTTTAATGAGAGTTAAGTTCGCTCGTGGGTAGATCGATAAACGCCACTTAATTAGTTTAATTAGGCCAAGTTGGTAGTCTTATAATTTATAGCACAGTTAATTATATCCCGTATTGATGTTACTTTGAGAACTGTTATTTAGTTTTTGCCTTATTTATTTCTCAATTAGAGTATTTAAATAGTTTACGAAGAGTACGCGTAGATATTGCTTTAATAATATTTTTAATTGATTAAATCTTTTATATCCTGATACTGTTTGAAACTGATTGCAAGTCAAGTAAAATTTTACAAAGCCAGAATACTCCAAAATGCTTATCATACAAATAAAAAAAAATGTTTCGAAACTTATTGTCATCACTGTTCACCCAAAATCTATATGTACAGTGTTCCTATCCTCTAGTACTTACGAATAATGACCGGCTTCACACGCACACACGAAAACACACAGCAAGCCCACAAAGATATTTTTACACATTAGTGCAATAATATATGTGCAGCCATTAATGGTGTAAATTAATTTTATTAATTTTTCTTTAAAAGGCATTGCACACCAATGGCGTTTTTAAATTGTGAAATATTATTGTTCATAACTTATAATAAGTTATACTAATATATAAAACTTTAACGATGAAGGCATAGGCTATAAAACATTACCCTGTGTGTATTAGTTACAAGCAAAGATACAGCGAGAAATGTGAGAAAAATCGGGAAAATTATTCATCAGTCTGGGTTCTCGAGGCGTACGCTGCTGGTTTTTAAACACCCAAAAAATGTGTATCAAAGTATGATAGCGTCCCGGACGTTTTTAGATCATTTAAAGAGGTTTAATGATATAAAAACATCCGCGACTAAGATTAACTTGCAAGAATGGAGGGAAATGGACGCGACCGACGTCGTGGGTAACAGCGATAATATAAAGTGTGGAGAAGGTTTGCAAAAACAAATTTTGATGTCCAAAATAACTGTTCTACGCGGACGAAGTCGCTGACACAACTAGTTTACAATAAAGTAATACATTATTAATTCATGTAATAAAATGGACCCACCGAACCCTATTTAAAATAATCCTCAGAAACTTCATCCCATTTTTATGAGCGAAATAACTTTCGAAATCTAATGTTGAGTGAAAAGAATTTTCGTTATTGAATATTATAATAATTACAAGTTAATTTTATAAAAACTTCGAACAAAAAGATAATAAAGAAGAAAGCTGAAACTAAGCCCCACTGCCCCTTTTGTTCTACGCAAATGATTACTGTAAGGTTGAATAATTCTTATGACAGAAAGTAATTACAAACTTATTACAATTGTAAGAAGAGTTTTAAAGTTAAGACTATTGAAACTATTTCTTCATTGTTAAAACTGAAATTTAAATTTGAAAATGTTATGATTTCTGAAATGTTATTGCATAATGCACTAAATAATCTTGAACTTGGT